CTCTGAACCCTGCGGCTTATACAGCCACGCGGCCAACGTATTATTATGGTGGTAGAGTTGCGCTGTTGGAGCAGAGTTAATGGACCTATTATATTGACTCAATCCATATTTAGTATCTACAGGAAGAACGTTTATTGTAAGAATAGACTGGTAAATGAGTCATGGAAGCAAACGTTTAAGGTAAGCACGCTAAAGTGAGTGATTCATTGGCTTTTCACATTTGATTGTTTTATTGACAAAGCTCAGGAATCAACAGTGCATTATTAAAACACTTAATTAAAACACATTGTGACCAGTTACAACAGTCATCTAGGTGCTGTAACTGGTCAGATTAGTGTTAAATTTAATTAAACATTAAAATCTGCGGCTAACATTCAAGTGCAGCATATATGTTGGGACAAATCAGTTTAGGGAGGCCAGCAAGGACGGTACATCACGCTATCACAGAACTGAGGCAGAAGCTTTTAGACTGAAGAGGTGTAAGCGTGGATGTATCGAAACAACAACTGGTGGTCCGTGTTTTTCAAAATCTATAGCACTTTGAGGTTTCGTGTAAATGTAGGTGAAATATAAATGTATAATGTGTTACTGGGCTGCACAGTGGTTTGCCCAATGATACTATCTTCTTGCTGTGTGCGTTTCCACTAGGGCTGGGCGATATGGCTGAAAACGATATTAATATTGGTCGATAACGATATATATTGATTACTTTTTTTATGTATTTTTTAAAACGTAAACAAATACATGTTTCGTGTCGGCCAACACGTGTTAGCAGCCTTGTTTATAGTCACGGTAGAAAGAGGCTGGAGGCAAATGTTCACAAGCAGTCTCCCCCACTTTAGTCCTGGTTTAATCCTGGTTTAATCCTGGTTTAATCCTGTTTCACCTCCTGTTTTAGCTCCTGTTTTAGCTCCTGTTTTGGCTGTTTTCGAGTGTTTTATGTCCCTGTGATGGCTCCGGAAAAAGTTAATCTCTTGCTTTTGCCGAATGCATCGAGTCTCTGCCTCTCCCGCGCCGCACATGCTGTTCCTCGCTCGGAAGTGTTTAACTATTGACACGGCACTGAGACACAATCTTTAGATCCATGGCTATTATAATAGATCCATGATCCATGGACGCTACGCTTGGTGCGGTTGTTTTTTGCTTTTCCCAGAATGTTTTGCATTTGTAGTCGGCTGTGATAGGTCGAGAAGCCTCTGCCTACATCCCCCAGAATGCCGAGCGCTTCCGGCATGGCTTTTCTTCCTGTGTTTTCTTCCTGTTTTTTTCTAACGGAGCGAAGTTAAACTATCAAACTTTCTATCGACCCTGTTTTCTATTGATATTGAACACTATCGCAATATATATCATTATCGTTTTATTGCCCAGCCCTAGTTTCCATCTCCAGGTCTTTCTGTGTGGAGTTTGTAGGTTTTCTCCTGGTGCTCCGGTTTCCTTCTGGTGCCCCGGTTTTTCCCCTACCACTAAAAATATGTACATTAGGTCTGGCGCACACCTCCTGTACGGCGACCTCGCTCCCATCTCTGTGTGGAGTGAGAGACAAATGCCCACAACTATTGAAGCGCTTTGTGATTCTGGTCTGTGAAAGGCGCTATATAAAAAATATAACTTACTTACTTATTATTATTATTATTACTGTTTTTACATGTTTTTACTTATAACATGTCTCCTAAAACACAAAAACAGGTGTTCTTGGGTGCTTGTTTACTGGAATATTGTGAGTTTTGCCGATGTGCCTCACTGGACTCTGTTTTCTCCATTACCTCTGCTGTGTGCTTTTGCTCTTTTAAGATTTCACGAGTGTTGTGGATTAGAAGATTTCTGCCATCAATCACAAAGTGAAAGTGTAGCCAGAGCTGTTGCTTTTAGTTCTTCAATACTGGAGTGGAACAAGATGTCTTTCTATGTAGTATTTTCTTTGTCTCTTCAGGGCGGCTGAAAATGTCTTTCTTCTCACCCATTGTTTGGTGAAAATGTATGCTTTGTTTTACATTTGGGATTACAATTTTACCATTACTACTAGGAAAAAATCAATGACTGTTTGTAGAGGGACAACGCCAACCTGCCAGGTCAACGTAGCCCAATAGGGAAGTGCTCATGGGCAAAGTTTTGTTCCAACTCTCTCTGGCTCATATTGACACTGAAATGTAAACTCCTCTAGCTCAGTAACCGTTCGTGTTTTACTTTTTGTTCATTTTGGGATACAAAATTCAGTGGTTTAGCGCTCTCTGTGATCCTTTGATGTTGTCTTTGTGAATCCAGATATAAGTGATTGACCTATCGGACGCCTTCATTTACGAGGGAAACTCCAGCTTGGCTTAGCAACCTGAACAAATGCCCATATAAGAAAATTGTCTCTTCAGCCTCTTCTGCAAGTTTAGTGGCCATACTTGCAGGTGAAAGCCAGATCCTGTCAGTCAATCCTGTCAAGTTGCGCTGGGCAGGGCCTGGTTAGTACTGTGATGGGAGACCTCTGGGAACACCAGGTCCCACAGTGGGGCGGCTGTGGCTGTAAAGTGCCAAACTGATGTTGTGTCATTAGGCAAGATACTTCACCCACTTTGCCTAGAATGCGTCTGGTGTGTGTGTGAATGGTTGGTGGTGGTCGGAGGGGCCAATGGCACATACTGGTTGTCTCACTTCTGTCAGTGTGCCCCAGGGCAGCTATGGCTACAGTGTTTATCACCACCGTGTATGGAGTGAAAGAATAACGACATGTGAAGTGTCTTTGAGTGTCCTGAAAAGCGCTGTATAAAACCAATGCATTATTATTTTTATTATTAGGATAAAGGCTGACACTATGGTAATGTCACACTTGGTCAGTCCACTCCTAATACACAGTCTATGTGTATTGGCCACACAATACAAAGGCACGAGGCTGCAGATTTTTCATACAAAATCCTATGGAGACCAAATGGGAGACGAGACCAAATAACTATGCATGAAAACTTTGAGCAAATCAAATGGAGTTGCAAATGTACTTCTGTTCTCACAAGCTAGTTTGATTACGGCTCTGATCCATCCTGGAAAAATGAGTTCCTCCAGGCTTCAGGTAAACGCTGCATGCTAAATATGAAGAGGGGGATTCTTCTGTCATGAGTCAAGCCTGGAGGAAAACCCGCAAAAGCAGAGACCCTCTAAGCTCTGCTTGCACTATTTCTGCAATGAGATATTAGCCCAGTCATAATGTGTCTTCCCCAGTGCTCCCAGTTTATTGCCTCCAGAGATCATCTGTTAATCCACACTGGCACCAAGTCAAACCGTACTCCAGCCCCGTAGAAAACAGGATTTAAAGGCACCGTATGAACCTATGGAAGAAGCGCTCTTTGACTCATTCGGTCCATGTAATCAAATTAAAAGTGGTATTTGAGCTGGTTTTCACAGGGCGCGGACAGGCTGACGGCGGTCGTATAGGCGCGTCGTAAAGCCTGAGTGAGTTATCTGAATTCTTGTGACAGTTGATAAGTGAGTGTTTGTTCGCAATGACAGCTCGGGCACATTTGTGTCAGCTGGAGGCTCGTCGTGACTGAGAGGGGAGAGAAAGGGATAAAATAAAAGAGAGAAAAACAAACAAGAAAAGATCCGAGATGCTGCGTGTGTGAGAGGCTGCAGGAGAGTGGAGGGAGTGGAAGCACGTTGGCGCCATCTACTGGAGGGTACAGGGACTTTTGTGGGATTTGAAGCAGGTTGGTGTGATGTCCGTGGGCTTTTGGAATGATGAGAAGGCAGGGCCGCTGTCAAACTGATTAGTATTATAAAACAAAACGAGCAAGGCGAGTTTTTTTGTACAGCACAGTTCATAGACAAGGCGACTCGAGGTCCACATCTTTGTTTCTGGAAAAATATTGTAACTTATGGATCTGTCAGACTGGTGGCTTCCGGTAACAGCAGCTGATAAGAGACATGTCACGCCGTCTGAAGAAGGTGGAAGGCTACCTAATTAAACAAAACCAGCGTCTTTAAAGTTTTATTGAAATGTATTGAAATTACTTTGTCAGCCTTAAACTTAAAGAAGACATTAGATACTTCTACTTCTAACTAAATGTATCTAGTCTCTGAAGATGTTCTCAAAAAAATAAAGTGTCCAACTTAGGGCTGGGCAATAAATCGAATTTTGGCAATTAATCGGCTTTTGAAAAAATCGAATTTGTGAAAAATTTGAAAATCTTGAAATCGAATGAAGGATATTGTGAGAGTTCCAGCAGCACAAGAATTATACTTGCACTATCAGCGCAGTCTGTACAAGACTTCAATAATATGTATTGGGGGAAACAAATTAAAGATAGTTTTGAAACTTAAACATTGAGCAGAAATTGGGTGACTTTAATTAAAATCGATTTTAAAATCGAAATTGTCCAAAGCAGGAAATAAAATCGCGATTTTCCTTTTTTGCCATATGGCCCAGCCCTAGTCCAACTAATCAATGTATAATTACAGCTCCGGTTTAGACGCTGTGAGTTCCATCCATCCATCCATTTTCTTCCCCTTAATCCATTTCTGGGTTGGCGGGGCACACAGAGCACCAGCACCAGAGCACTGTAGGTGGCCTTGATTATTTAGCGAGGCTTCGGGCAAAGTGGGGTTAAGTGTCTTGCCCAAGGACACATAGACAGCAGTCATCAGTGGGAGTCGTGAAGTAGGTCTTGTGGTGGGCTCAAACTCAGGACCTTCAGGCTCTAAGACTCTACCAACTGAGCCACTGTGACTTGCCTATTTTAATTCATTGTGTTTGTGTATAGTTCTATATAACAACAGCAGTGGTCTCAGAGGACTTTGCGAAGTTGTTCATTCGTAAACAACAGATCAGAAAATTAAACACATAGAAACCATTGGTCCATTGGGAGCGAATGACCACTGTCCATAAATGTCTGCGATCATCACTGTCCTTAGACCCTCCTACATCGGAAAAAAACTAAATATTGTGTGTGGTCCTCGGGTGACGTTTAGTTTTTGTCATTGTTTTCATATCGTCATACTGTGGTTTTCGTGTGTGTTCTCAGCCTGGAGACTTCCTGAGGATCTACAACGTGCGGTCCCTCCCAGGCTCCAGTAAAGTCCCGGGGCTGACGGAGACCGAGCCGCTGGAGCTGGACCACCTGGTCTTCCACCTGCACGGAGGGACCACATACGGACGGGGCATCAGGGTTCTGCCCCAAAACTGCCCCACCGTGCTCCAGCTCCAGAGGTCTGTTATGGCAATTTGTAGAATGATCTTTAGTATAATATTTTATGTAATAATTCAAGGCAAATGTTTTTCCTGTGATTTATTCAAGTAATGATAGACATACCTAATAATTGTATAAAATGGGTGTTTAAGCTGTGGCAGATACCGTTAGTAAACCTGAGAGGAGGTCTGCTGAGATCTACTGCCCAGAACTAAAGCAGATCACAGCTTTTAACATCCAGCGAGAGTTTAGAGAGAGGTGAGAGAAGAGGGGAGAGGAGAGGAGTGAAAGTTTGGAGAAAGTAGAGAGGAGGGAGATTTTAGACAGGAGTGGAGTAAGAGTTTGGAGAAGAGTGAGGGTAGGTGTGAGAGAGGAGAGGCATTAGACAAGAGCTCATTGTTAATCCCGGTATAATCTTAGTAATCTTATAATCTTTAGTCTTGGTATAAACCTTTAGTTTTGGCTGTATTCAAATGTCTTAATAATAATAACAATAATTAGTATAGTAGATTTTCTTTATAAGGCACCTTACTCTTGCGATGCATATCTCAAGGTGCCTCAGCAAATACAAAAACACAATCAAACATCAGAAAACATTCCTTCTGCCCTGAGCGGCTTGTGACCCCACCCCCGCTGTGCTGCTCCCTGATTGGTTGCCGCACGTCTGTCCGGCCCAAAAGTCTAGGAACGTTCATCTTTTGTGTGGCCGTACTCAAGGCACCGACCGCGCCACAGAAACGTACGATTATCGGTACTGACGAGACTGTACCATTGACTTGTAAATCTGCCGCACACATGGTCTGGTGGAAACGGGGCTTCAGAAAGATCTTCTAATGAGACAAAATGTGCAGGTTTTACGTCCTCAAATATTCTCCTGTGAGTGTTAGTGACAGTGGGCCGTCAATGGTACTGTACATCTATGTATCAAGCATCACTTGCACATAACACATGCTTTTTATCATGAAAACAGAAACTTTTTTTATCTAAGTGATTGAAATATGCTTCTGTAATTTCAAATGAATAATGCCTTTTTTACACATAGTCTCCTTCCTGCCTGTCTCCTTGGGGCTCTTATTGCGTTATTGCTTTTTCTGGAATATTACATATTTTAGTGTTAAATGTGTGTACCTTATTTCTGTAATAATGTCTGGCCAAAGGAATGTTTACTTAGATTGCATTTCCACAGGGCTCCTGAACTGGATTTTCCTTCTTGTTTCGTTCTGAACTCATATTTTCATGAAGCCAAGCTGGTGGTTTAATGAAACATGTCCATCGTGGAGATTTGAATGCGTTGGTGAATTCTTTCATTCACGTCCCAAGGTTAACTTTGTCTGTTCAATGTTTCTATTGAACAACATTTCTGATTCAAACATTCTTACTTGGTTATTTAATCGTTGGAACTTGGAATGTAGGATTTCTCTTATTCAGTTTGTATTCTTTTGTATCTGAAAATGTGGCGCCCCCTGCAGGTGAAAGCCAGATCCTAGCTACACCTCTGAAGTTAAGCCAGGTAGGGTCTGGTTAGTTCTGTGATGGGAGACCTCTGGGCACAACCGTTGCCACAGCGGGGGGGGGGCTGTAAAGTGCCGTTGTGTCCTGAGGCAAGACACTACACACGTGTGTGTGTGTGTGTGATCAGATGCTACTTGCCTTTAGTGGCTACAGCAGTAGTTTGTCACCACCGTGTATGGAATGAAAGAATAATAGTAGCGTCTGTGTCCCAAAAAGCTCTATGTAGTAGTGATGTATTATGAAATAGAATAACGTAATGTTTTATGTGAAGGTCTAAATAATGAGTCATTTTGTGATAAACATTCTTTAAAAAGACATACTCCAAACCCCCGGGGCCTTTCTCATTAAAGTGTATGTCTCAGTCAGGGGTCGTGTGGAGCCCATAGTGTCCATGGCATGACCACGTTCTGTCCATATGTTGTGAGCTGAGTCAGAGTGACAGACTACATTAGATCCAGTTTCCTCTGGGGCTGAGCTGTCCCTGGCTCTGCTGCTGCAGGCGCTCCTCGCACCAACGAGGCCGGCACGAGCCGTGGTAATGGGCTTCCATTACGGTTTGCTCACAGCTATTTGACATTCATTTAAAAGTGGAACATAATCATAAAAGTTTCTTGACATTTGTTGTTCTTCCTGTTTTTCAAGATTTTTTTTTTTTTTTTTTTTTTTTAACATTTTATTCAGCAATACAGAAAAAGACACAAACATATGAAAACATAATGACATACAAAAAGAAACAAAGAAACATAAGGTGCAGGTAGAAAAGGACGTTTGACAGGACACAAAACAGGGAACGTGTGTGTGTGTGTGTGTGTGTGTGTGTGTGTGTGTGTGTGTGTGTGTGCACTTGTTTTCAACTCCTGGTGGGTTCCATAACCTGAGATTCCACTCACGTCATGGGGACTGGTTTTACGTGGTGGGGCCCGAACACCGGACCCCACTGGTCCAAGCTTAATAATCAATGGGTAATGCTTTTCTAACGGTCCTTATGCAGTCTCTGTAAAAATATGGAAAGGACCCCTGGAGGTTTACTTTCCTGAAAAAAGTGTGTTATGTGTCGGAACCCTGGTGGTGGGTTGCGGGATATCAAGGAGGGGCACACTGGGGCAATTTCAGTCCAGCAGGCTGGAGCCAATCATGGAGCAGCACAACAGAGGAAATCAGGTGTCAGGCTAGAAAAAGGTGCAAGTGTGTGGTTCATTAGGCTGCAAGAAATCATGGAGGAGCACACTGAAGCGCACGCTTACAAACCACTGGTAAGTGCTGACTACAAGTCATGACTTCAAATTGTTATATAGAATGATTACAAATTATTTGTTGTTTGTGCAGCTTAGTCAAGAGTCCCTAATTGATGAAGTCGACTCAGATTCTGACGATTTAACTGTCAAGAAGAAACCTGTAAAAAAGTATGGAAAAAGAAAAATCAAAAACACTTTTCTTCAAGACTCGGAAAGTGACGAACCAAAGGCAAATAAGATTGTTATCATGCAGCTGCAAAAGAAGAAAAATGGGGGGCGAGTTTACAGCAAGAGACACTTCTGCCTCTACTGTTCAATGTCCTGCCACAAAATGTCCCGTCATTTGACTAGAAAACATGGAAATGAAAGTGACGTAGCCAGAGCATTGGCTCTACCTGTGAAATCTAAAGCACGTAAACTTCAGTTTGATTTGATCAGGAATAGTGGAAACCGTGAGCACAATTTTGAGGTTTTAAAGGCCGGCATTGGAACTTTAGTCCCAGCTAAACAGCCAAATTGCCCAGTTAAATCCAGTGAGTTTTTGCACTGTATAGACTGTGGGGCATTGCTTAAGCGAAAGTCGCTGTGGAGGCATGTGGCCAGGTGCCGGCTTTCACAGAAAGATGCCCAGGCTAAACCAGGTAGAAGTAGGGTCCAGTCCCTCTGCTCCCTAGCCCAGCCTGTACCGGAGGGCATCAGCAAAAAGCTGTGGTCTTTAATTTCGGCAATGCATCAGGATGAGGTCACGGGTGTTGTCAAAGCAGAAAAGGGGATTCTGAGACTCGGAGAGCACCTGTACTTAAAACACGGGCATGATAAGACTAAGCATGATTACATTAGGCAGAAAATGAGAGAAGTCGGTAGGTTAATTAACGAAGCAAAAACTGCAGGGAAACTGAAAACAATTAAGGATTTCTTTATTCCTTCCAACTTTAACCATGTGATTGATGCAGTCAGGTCTGTGGCTGGATATGATGAGGAAACAAATCAATACAAGACTCCATCCTTGGCCCTCAAACTCGGCCATAGCCTCAGAAAGCTAGCAGATATTCTTGAATGTGACTCAAAAATGGAGCATTGTGTTGATGAACTATTTTTTAAAAACCTCCAACGAAGCCGGCTGCTTTTTGAGAAGAGGTGGGACGTCTGTGTTTCTTCTGCTGCCCTACAGACCCTCCGGCAAGCCAAGTGGAACACTCCGGACCTGCTCCCTCTGACTGAGGACGTTAGAGCCATGCATGCACATATTGAGGTATGTCGACCTGAATATGTGCAAACCCTAATAAGTGAGCCAACGTCTAAGCATTGGTCTAAACTGGCAGTTTTGACTCTTTGTGAGGTCATCATTTTCAATCGAAGAAGGGAAGGTGAGGTTTCAAAGATGCCACTGACAGCCTTTACCTTAAGAAGTAAAACTGGGATCCATTCTGACATTGCTCTGGGACTGTCCCAACTTGAGAAAAAGCTGTGTCAGCATTTTCAACGCATTGAAATTAAAGGGAAAAGAAGTCGGAAAGTGCCGGTTCTTTTGACTCCTGAAATGATTGCTTCGATGGAGGTGCTGGTGGAGAACAGAAGGGCCTGTTCCATTTCTGACCATAACCCATACTTCTTTTCCCGCCCGGGCGCAGACACCCACATCAGGGGATCAGACTCCCTACGGCAGGTAGCCAAAGAATGTGGTGCGGTGCATCCAGAGATGCTATCCTCAACCAAACTTAGAAAGCACATAGCTACTATGTCTACAGTTCTCAATATGAAAGAGAATGAGATGGACATACTTGCCAACTTCCTCGGCCATGACATTCGCATCCACAGGCAATATTACAGACTACCAGAGGGGACACTGGAGCTGGCCAAAATCAGCAAAGTGTTGATGGCCATGGAGCAGGGAAGAGTGACGGAATTCGAAGGAAAGAGCCTCGACCAGATACAAATTGAGCCTGAAGGTAATTCTTGATATTATTAAAATATGTATGATTTTTTTCCCCTAAAGGCCACTTGTATTTTTATTTTCTGTGCGACAGGGAGAGCAGTAGAGATCCTCTCACAAACGGACGGGCTAAAAGAAACTTCAAGCGGAGAACCTTCAACCATTCATCCAGATGCACCCCATGGTAGTGGCAGTGCCCCTTCTGGTAAGTGTACCAGGTGGGGGATTACAGCCAGGCTGCTTGGTCCTAACCCTGGGAGTGTATATTGCTAATATATTTTTATTTCTCTCCCTAGAACGTGTAAGAAAGCCATGGTCTGCATCTGAGGTGAAGGCTGTGGAGAAGACCATGACACCTTTCATACAGACTGGAAAGGTCCCTGGGAAGTCTCACTGCCTGGCCTGCATTAATGCCTCACCAGATGACCTTAGACATCGGACATGGAGTGGCATTAAATTCTATGTCAAAAATAGAATCACTGCAATTCGAAAAAAAAATCTAAAATAAAATTCCTTTAAAATAGTTGTTTGGTTTCTATTGACTGTTTTGTATTACTTAAAGTAGTCCCAGTAAAAAAAGATTATGTCTATGGGTCCCATTCTGAACGGCCCTGTCAAAGGGACCCACCAGGTAACAAAAACGTGTATGTGTGTGTGTGTGTGTGTGTGTGTGTGTACACATGCTCTTTAAGTTGGTTTTATGTCTGTGTGTTTGATCATGATTTTACGTGTCCATTGAGAGAATGCACAAAGGGTGTAGATGTCAAGGAAGACAACAATGGTGGTGGCTACCATGACTAAAGTTAAACCAGGGCAAATTTGCCGAAGGGACTATAATTTATATAATTTATATGTAAACAAGTCTTTCCTTATGAGATGGGAATGTGAATGTTGTGCATTAAAAACGGGGTGAGGTGCATTAAAAACAGCATGTGAGGATGCATTTTGTATACACATACATCTGTAAGTACCCATTCACACACACAAATACATACTTACATACGAACTCATTAGGTTTGACAGAGGAAGACTTGGGTATACTTATTCAGAATTTCAAGTCTTTCAAGTTTTTTGTTTTGTTTTTCTTCACAGAGCGATTGCAGGGTTTATAGAAGATGAAAACGACTCTGTCATGATGGAGGTGTGGGGCACGCCACCAGAGTCTCTGGGTACGTGAAGTGGATAATGTACTGCTGTGGTTAAAGTATTGGTACCTATGCGGTGGTACGAATGAAGAAATTGTTCAAATCCCCATAGCCGGTATAATTATATTGATAGATACTTTATTGATCCCCGAAAGAGAAATTCAGGTGTCCAGTAGCAGCAGAAACACATCCATCCATACAAAACAATACGAATAAATAGATGATTCTAGAAATAGCTAACAATAGTATTAAAATGCAACAGCCTTGTAGGTCACAGCGGTGGTGCAGACGCTGGTCCAACGAGGTCACGGAGCAGGTCAGGTCACAGCAGCAGAGGGGGAGTAGCCGCTTGGTTCAAATCCTTTTCTCTGCTCTCGTCCAAAGTGATTTGCTGAAAGCTTTGTAAGTGTTCAGCACATGACTGAAATCTGAACTAACAGTTAAATCTGTTTGTGTTTGAAATGTTTTATCCGTCTGCTTAGTGTAGGATGTGTTTGTCTCAGAGTCGATCAGGGGCCGTTGTGGAGGGCTGAGTGTTGTGAATAATTAGATCTGTTTTAAAGGAGTCCTGAATCACTGCAGGTGACGTTTAGAAGAGGTCGACTAAATCCCAAACACAAGGAGAGAGAGAGGGAGAGTGCGTGTGTGTGTGTGTGTGTGTGTGTGTGTGTGTGTGTGTGCGCGCATATGCATTTGTATGTCTGCCTGTTTGTGTCTGCATGTGCTTGTGTTGTGTGTATGTGTCTTGTGTGTTCGCATGCATTTATGCGTATATGTGTGTCTGCCTGTGTCCCTGTGCGTGTGTGTGTGTGTGCACGCTTTTGACAAAATGTGTGCGCGTGCATGTGTTTATGTGATTTGTATTTGTGTGTGTGTGTCTGCGTGTGTGTGTGTGTTTTGCCTTCAGCCTGTGTACCCTGGATTCACACAGCCGTGCTGGGGAGTGTGCGCCGCGGGGACACTCCTCCATTTGCTGTTTGTCTAAAAGCCGCACGCTTCACTGGGATCAAATAAAAAGTCAAGCTCTAAATCTGTGCCTCGAGTCTATATTTTGGAAAGGAGCTCGTCTGCTCCTGCCCCTGGCCACAGTCTGCACTCACTGCCACGTTCTAAATATTTGGATATATTGCTCTTTTTGCTTCTAACAGAAATAAACACAAGAGTTTTTAAAGAGCACGTCCACTCAAAAGGAAACGGACATAAAGTCGAGGAAACGCTGAACAACAACAAATGCTCAGTGACATTGTTTCTGTTAAGGATGAAAACATTTTACCTTTGGTTTGATTTCAGGTCCTGAGTTTCTGAACACTGACAGCATCACAGGTAATTTACATTTCACACAAACAAGTGTTTAGAAAAGAGCGATATGAATGATGTTATTGTCAGTGTCGACTGTAAACTGTAAAACTGTAAAACCTGCACCACACTGTTTATTGTACATAATATATCCTGCATTTCACATGTTTGCACACTTCTGTCTTTTGCACGATCTTGAGTGTTTCTATCCATGCCAGATGTGACATGTACATTTCTCCTGTGTGAGATCAATAAAGTCTATCTTATCTTATGTAACCCGTCACTGTAACAAAATTAGAATTTGAGTAGCGTAGGAGTTTAACACTTTATTATGAACACAGGTGTAATTATATCACAGTTACTATAGATATTCCATGTTTTTATCTTTTTGGTATAGTTGGAATAGTGTTTATGTCTCCACCGGTTTTCAGGCTCAGAAGCTCAACATGACATAAGCACACATTCAGTGGTGCTGGGAACAAAGTATCGAGATGAGCTTCTGAGCCAGAAAACTGGTTAATATACAAACAATATTTAAACTATTTCAAACAGATAAACACGTTGTTGTGGAGCGCAGCTTTAACCAGTTTTGACCTAATTATTTGAAGTCTACCTTATTTAAATGACAAACATACAAACTTGATTTTGCTTTTTTTTGTTACACAAAGTAATTCTAAAGTAATGTAACTTATTTACTTTCTTGGCAGTAACTAAGTAAAAAAACTTAGTTTTAAAAAACTTAAAAACTTATTTTAGAAGTAACTAGGCATTGGTCACTACTTTTCTACATTTTCAAAGGAACTTGAGTGCTACTGCTCACATTCGTCCTGTGTGTCCAGAGAGAACGTGCAGACACGACACTGGCCCCGTGAGTCTGTCTGAAGTCCAGCGGTCGGCTCCAGGTCAAGTCCACCACGTCAGAGTCCAGCTGAAGTCCTACCAGCCCCAGAGACTGCACCAGTGCCTCAAGCTGTTCTGCCCCAAGTGCTCCACCATGTGTGTACCTGTGTAAAAGCCCTGTTTCCACCAGCCCGACTCGGCCCTACTCTACCTGGTTCTGTTTCCATTGCGTGAAAACAGAAAAATCCGCACAGCTATGTTGTTCTTTCAAACCAAATAACGTTTCGGTTTCATTACTTTTTCTATGTTTTTACGTTTTGTACTTTTTAAATCCAGCAAGTTAGTCCAGGCTACTGGGGTGTGTGGCCTTCTTTGAAACCTTTCTGTTTGCGTTATGATTTAGTATCTGGCATCCTAGCAACAACAAATCTGTGTCCGACAAATTCCTTAGTAATCACGGTTCCACGCAGCACTCTGGCCAATCACTTTCAGTTAGAACACTTTAGTAACAGCTCGGCCTGGATAGAACCAGGGCCAAGTTGAGTAGAGTAGGGTAGGGTGGAGTTTGCATGTTCTCCCTGTGTCTGCGTAGGGTTCCTCCGGGTGCTCCAGTTTCCCCTACCACTTAAAAACATGTGCAATAGTTCAGGGTGAGTGAGTGTGTGTTTGTGAGTGTGAATATGGGACAACATACACTGTCCCAACCAAAAAAACTAAAAATAAGATGTATAGACTTGCTGAAAACAGGGCTTTTGTTTTCAAGTACATTTCAGACAGATTTATTAAAGACACACTTTTTCTCTTTGAATATGAAAAACAGGTAGCAAGTTTTTTGTATTTATATGTTTTTCACTTAGGCCTAGGCTGTTTTTAAATGTGTTTTACAAATAAATACTGATTGATGGTCTATCGTTCCTGCTTGTCTGTCTTTGCTCTCAGACAGGACGTCCCGAATGAGGAGCAGGTGTCGGCGGTGTTTTCTGCTGCGTCCCAGGACAGGGAGGTGTGCGCCGCTCCTCCCTGGTCTCTCTCCGGGGAGGTCCAGCTGCCGTCTCAGTCTCCAGGACCCTCCTCCTCCTCCTCCTCTTCCTCCTTTCTCAGAGCGTACTTCTCCTCACAGTTCATGTCCGGAAACAGGAACAAGCAGCTGCTGTTCCTCCAAGGTAAGGCCTGTGTTTGACCAGGGCTGCATCCAGTTCCATAATAAATACTTTGCTAGCCTTTCCTTTGCATTTTTATTGACCAAAGTGGCATCAAATGTAATACAAGTGGAATCAAAACCCTCTTAAAAATGTGTTACATTTCTCCTGACTGAACCTGGATCCTGTGTCATAAAACGTTTAGATTAAAAGCTCACAAAAGGATGAAGAAGGATAAGGAAAGATGTACTTTAGGGGAAATTGGATGTCAACCTAGACTATATTTTAACATCTGAAGAACATTGCTAAAGTTAGAAATATAGTGTCCAAAGCAGACCTGGAGATTGTTATCCATGCATTTGTCTCCAGTAGGTTAGACTACTGCAATGGCCTGCTCACAGGTCTGTCCAAACAGGCTGTAAATCAGCTGCAGTACATTCAAAATGCAGCAGCTCGAGTCCTGACTAGAACCAGGAAGTACGACCACATTAGTCCAGTTCTCAGGTCTCTGCACTGGCTTCCTGTGGCTCAGAGAATAGACTTTAAAACAGCTCTGCTTGTGTACTCTCCATGGCCTCGCACCAAAATATATTAGAATCAGAATCATTTTTATTGCCACGTAAGTAACAGGAGGTCACAGACTTGGAAATTAATTTGGCTCGGTGCAACAGTCAGAAAGAGAGAATAAAATAAAATAAAAAAGAATAAAAAACACTTCTAAAATTTTAAAATTAAAAGAGTTACAATTACTATATACAATATACAGTGCACATGCTGCACACAATGTAAAGCGACAGCAGTACAGTGAGGTAAAGTGACGTATGATGGGCAGTAAAGTGACTTTATAAAGAACAGGGACTTCTAGAGGGCGGGGGACAGGTTATGAAGTGTTCAAGAGTCCAACAGCAGAGGGGAAGAAACTGTTCTTGTGGCGGGAGGTTCTAGTCATGATGGACCGCAGTCTCCTGCCTGAGGGGAGTGGTTGGAATAGTCCATGTGCAGGGTGAGAGGGGTCGGCTGTGATACGACCAGCCCGGCCTCGAGCTCGGGCGACGTACAGGTCCTGCAGCGATGGAAGGCTGCGGCCGATCACTTCCTCTGCAGAGCGCACAATGCGCTGTAGTCTCTGTTTGTCCCTGACTGTGGCTCCAGCGAACCACACGGTGACGGAGGAGGTGAGGATGGACTTGATGATGGCCGTGTAGAACGGCACCAGCATCTGTGCAGGCAGCTTGGTTAGTGACATGTTAGTCCCATATGAACCAGCCCGGACTCTAAGGAGCACAGGGACTGGCCTCTTGCTGGTGCCCAGAGTGAGAACTAAACATGGGGCGGCTGCATTTCAGATTTATGCAGCTAAAATCTGGAACAGCTTCCCTGATAATGTGAGAGAGGTCTCTGCACTGACGATGTTCAAATCCAGGTTAAAGACTGTTCTGTTTGCCTGTGCATACAACAGAAGGATTTTATCTCCATTTTTAGTGCACTGTGATTATTCATTTATATATTTTTTTATTCCTTGTGTAATTTTAAAGTTTTAATGGTTTTAATTTTTGGTGTGATTTTAATGTTTTAATTGTGATTCTGGTGTTTGTTTTATGTGATGATTTGTGCCTTGGGTGATGTGGACTGTGAAGCGCTTTGTCTTGCCCTGTGTATGAAAGGCGCTCTACAAATAAACTTTGATTGATATATACCTATACTACAGTGCCTTGCAAAAGTATTCAACATTTCGCCACGTTTCAGGCTTCAAACATAAAGATATAAAATTTTAATTTTTTTGTCAAGAATCAACAACAAGTGGGACACAATCGTGAAGTGGAACAAAATTTATTGGATAATTTAAACTTTTTTAACAAATAATAAACTGAAAAGTGGGGCGTGCAATATTATTCGGCCCCTTTACTTTCAGTGAAGCAAACTCACTCCAGAAGTTCAGTGAGGATCTTTGAATGATCCAATGTTGTCCTAAATGACTGATGATGATAAATAGAATGCACCTGTGTGTAATCAAGTCTCCGTATAAATGCACCTGCTCTTTGATAGTCTCAGGGTTCTGTTTAAAGCGCAGAGAGAACCATGAAGACAAAGGAACACACCAGGCAGGTCCGAGATACTGTTGTGGAGAAGTTTAAAGCCGGATTTGGATACAAAAAGATTTCCCAAGCTTTAAACATCTCAAGGAGCACTGTGCAAGCAATTATATTGAAATGGAAGGAGTATCAGACCACTGCAAATCTACCAAGACCCGGCCGTCCCTCCAAACTTTCATCTCAAACAAGGAGAAGACTGATCAGAGATGCAGCCAAGAGGCCCATGATCACTCTGGATGAACTGCAGATAACTACAGCTGAGGTGGGAGAGTCTGTCCATAGGACAACAATCAGTCGTGCACTGCACGAATCTGGCCTTTATGGAAGAGTGGCAAGAAGAAAGCCATTTCTCAAAGATATCCATAAAAAGTCTCGTTTAAAGTTGGCCACAAGCCACCTGGGAGACACACCAAACATGTGGAAGAAGGTGCTCTGGTCAGATGAAACCAAAATCGAACTTTTTGGCCACAATGCAAAACGATATGTTTGGCGTAAAAGCAACACAGCTCATCACCCTGAACACACCATCCCCACTGTCAAACATGGTGGTGGCAGCATCATGGTTTGGGCCTGCTTTTCTTCAGCAGGGACAGGGAAGATGGCTAAAATTGATGGGAAGATGGATGGAGCCAAATACAGGACCATTCTGGAAGAAAACCTGTTGGAGTCTGCAAAAGACCTGAGACTGGGACGGAGATTTATCTTCCAACAGGACAATGATCGAAAACATAAAGCCAAATCTACAATGGAATGGTTCACAAATAGACGTATCCAGGTGTTAGAATGGCCAAGTCAAAGTCCAGACCTGAATCCAATCGAGAATCTGTGAAAAGAGCTGAAGACTGCTGTTCACAAACGCTCTCCATCCAACCTCACTGAGCTCGAGCTGTTTAGCAAGGAAGAATGGGCGGGAATTCCAGTCTCTCGATGTGCAAAACTGATAGAGACATACCCCAAGTGACTTGCAGCTGTATTTGCAGCAAAAGGTGGCGCTACAAAGTATTAGCGCAAGGGGGCCAAATAATATTGCACGGCCCACTTTTCAGTTTTTTATTTGTTAAAAAAGTTTAAATTATCCAATAAATTTTGTTCCACTTCACGATTGTGTCCCACTTGTTGTTGATTCTTGTTATATCTTTATGTTTGAAGCCTGAAATGTGGCGAAATGCTGAAAGGTTCAAGGGTGCCGAATACTTTCGCAAGGCACTGTATATACAATTTAACCCATTTAATAAAAAAAGTTGAAAGACCACAACAAAATTGAGAGCTCTGACTGCAGATGCTGCTCCCTCTTCACCACATCAGTCCACTACAGCTCTGAATGCAGACGCTGCTCCTTCTTCACCACAACAGTCTGATACAGCTCTGACTCCCAGCTAGAGATAAAGCCAAGGAAAATGGATAGATGGATAGTTAAGCCCCGTAAAAGTCTAGACCTAAATCCTGTCAATCCTGTGGAAAGACCTAAAGGCAAGGCAAGTTTATATTTATAGCACACTTCATACACAAGGAAACTCAAAGTGCTGAACAAAACAAGATAGAATAATCACAGTAGATTAAAAAGAGTGAAGATAAAAAAATCTTCACTTTTTTGCGTCTGGCAGGAGCCGGTCTGGAGCAGGTGAAGACGCTCGCCTCCTCTTACCTGAACATCGTCCCAGTGCGGTCATCAGGAGGTCAGCTGGCTCTGCTCGATCTGTCCGTCCCCGTCCTGTTCAGAGGCAGGAGGAAATACTACGGGTAACTTCTGCAAGTTTCTCCTACGCTTTTGGAAGATTCCTTCTTTTGAACGTTTCTGGCCTTTGCTCTGTACGCTCAGGTGCAAAAACTGTTCCAATCCCGCGGTGAGGGAGCCCAACGTGGAGGGGGTCGAGGTGATCTCTGAGAAGCTACTGGCAGAAGGTCAGTCAGAGCTGTTTTGTTTTATTATGCTTCTTATTTTCAGTTTGAGGCTTAAAGCGGTCTTCTAACAGGACCATGAGGGTGTAGAAGCTTGTACTGCTTGATTACCTAGCTACTAGCTTCTTCATAGTCTTTGTTCTTTAACCTTTAGACCAGAGACCCAACTGGCGGATCGGGGTCCAGGCCTGGACCTTGAGAGCATTTTCTTTGGACATATTTACAAGTTTATGTACTTGCCAAAATGGTGCGAGCGCACATCACATAAATCAAGCCAATAAAAAACACCTTAACCATGACAACGGTTAGCATGGATTGCAACGGTAAATGTACGTGTTGCCATAGTAACAGTTGTCATTGTGATGGTTTCTATGGCAGTTGCCATAGTGATGGTTGCCATGGTGACTATTGCCATAGCACCGGTTGCCATGGTCACCATTGTCAAAATGCCAAATGTTGCTATGACTGTCATCACTATGGCAACTGTTACCCTGGAAACCATCCCTTTTTAAATGTTGTTATGGCAACTACCATGGCAACCAGCTCTATGAGAACAATCACCATTGCAACTGTTACCATAACAACAGCCAGACAATCTGGTGAATGTTTTAATGCTAATTTCTCACAACTTATTTTTTTGGAAGTTTATTTCCAGTTGCCATGGTAACGGTTGCCATAGTGTTGGAAGTCATGGCAATGGTAACCATGGCAACTGTTGCTATGGCAACAGTCACCATGGCAACTGTTTCTATGCTATTAGTGGTAGACTGAATATAGATTAATTCTTGGGGGGCTCACAAGAATCTTGTTATTGGTCGCGCAGGAGGCTAACCCTAACCCCCCACCTTATCAACAATTATGTTTACGCTGCCGGCCCCAAACTCAAACCTTTATTTAAATGTGGGTTTTAAGAGTCACAGACAGCACCAAAAAGTGAATAAATCCCTCTGCTGGAGACAAAATACTAAGACCCAGAGCATGCTGCTTTTCTCAGCCGTTAGCTTCCATGGAGTACCAGCATTTTAGCGATCTGTAATGATGCTAAATGTAACATGTGTAGCCATCCTCCACCAACTGAAGAGTCTGAGTTTTGGGATCATGTCTCTGTAGAAGAAATGTTTTATTGTTGGTTCACAGTGTGAGCGACACAACCAGTTTCATAGCGTTGACATGGTTTTATACCAAGACAAAATACAGACGGTCCCCTCAGCGTCTGCCACGACACCTGTAGATTTGCTTCAACCTTCAGAAAAACAAAACATCAAGTGGAAAATCACTGACTCCTGCAGATTGCTGTAATGACCAGTTCAGTTTTAACAAAAATTCACACCAAAAAAGTCTGATAAAAAGCTGAGGTTACGTCCCCTTTAATAGTTTACCATTTTTCACATTATTTTCCACCTCATACCAATAAACCAGTTTGAGTTTTCTGTGAGTCCGCTCTGCAAACACACATTACTCACACACAAAATGGCAAAATCAAACTCAGCTTGCCTCAAATTAAAAATAAATAAAGAAACATGAAACCATATCCACGTGAAATCATAAGGACACACTGCAAACCGCATCAGTCCTATTTCAGCGTGTATGTGTGTGTGCACGTGTGTGTTTTTGTTTGTGTGTCTGTTGTGTTGTAGCTCTGGGCGTGGAGCTGCTGCACTACATGCTGCTGCTGAAGCTGGAGCTGCAGGACCCCTCGGGCTCGCTGGACGTCCTTTTGTGGAGAGACGCGGTGAGTCACGTCCCGTTTAGCCTCCTTTGCCCCTCCGTCTGAGAGAGGCCCTTTCACCGCGGCCGGAGCAGAGCAGCAGGAGGCGCGCCAGTAGAATCAAGTGATGATGATTAGTCTTTTTCTCAAGCACTGGTTCCAGTCTGACCTGTGCATAAGATCATAACTTTTTGCCACGGCGTGTACGGGGCAGTTAGAGCTCACAGGACACAGAGATGGGTCGCTGTAACTGCTTCTTAACACTAGGAATCCAAAGCGAAAAGCTGTCAATTAAACTGCTGTGGAAGTATAATTACTCCACATATGGACGTTATTGGTTTTATTGGTACCCTTTTTCTGTCTCTATTTGTATAGTTTTGTGGCAGGAACGCTGGTGTGTGCTATCGTCTCTGTCTGGGGCACACTGGGGGTAGTCTTGCACATCCATCTATCCATCCATCCATCCATCCATCCATCCATTTTCTTCCGCTTTATCCGTTGCCGGGTCGCGGGGGCAGCAGTCTAAGCAGAGAGGCCCAGACTTCCCTATCCACACACACTTCCTCCAGCTCGTCCGGGGGGACTCCAAGGCGTTCCCAGGCCAGCTGAGAGACATAGTCCCTCCAGCGTGTCCTGGGTCGTCCCCGGGGTCTCCTCCCGGTGGGACGTGCCCGGAACACCTCCCCAGGGAGGCGTCCAGGAGGCATCCGGAACAGATGCCCGAGCCACCTCAACTGGTTCCTCTCGACATGGAGTCGCAACGGCTCTACTCCGAGCTCCTCCCGTGTGACTGAGCTCCTCACCCTATCTCTAAGGGAGCGCCCAGCCACTCTGCGGAGGAAGCTCATTTCGACCGCTTGTATCCGCGATCTCGTTCTTCCGGTCATTACCCAAAGCTCATGACCATAGGTGAGGGAGGGAACGAAGATTGACCAGTAAATTGAGAGCTTTGCCTTTCGGCTCAGCTCCCTTTTCACCACAACGGCCCGATACAGCGACCGCATCACTGCGCACGCTGCACCGATCCGCCTGTCAATCTCACGCTCCATCCTTCCCTCACTCGTGAACAAGACCCCGAGATACTTGAAATCCTCCACTTGAGGAAGGGCCTCTCCACCCACCCGCAGAGGGCAAGGCACCTTTTTCCGGTCGAGCACCATGGCCTCGGATTTGGAGGTGCTGATTCTCATCCCAGCCGCTTCACACTCGGCTGCAAACCGTCCCAGTGCATGTTGCAGGTCCTGGTTCGTTGGAGCCAACAGGACAACATCGTCCGCAAACAGCAGAGATGAAATCCTGTGGTCCCCGAACCGGACCCCCTCCGACCCTTGGCTGCGCCTAGAAATTCTGTCCATGAATACAGTGAACAGAACCGGTGACACACAGTTTTTCCAATGTGCTTTTACTGCAAATGGATAGGTGGATGGATTCTTGAATCTTATTTTTATGTAATAATGTTTTTGAAATGATACCCATTCCTCCACTGGTCCTAGACTGGTCCAGAGCAATCTCAGCTGGGAGCAAGTGCTAGTTACCATAGCAACCCACTGTTTAATAGCAGCCATTAGCATTTAGTTTTGCTGTATTTCGTTTATATCAGCCAGTTATAGCATGTGTTAAAGATAAAATGTAAATCTGTGGAATACCATTCATTTGAATGGGAGCCGTCAAAATGACTGCTCTGGGAGTTCGAGCAGTTTCAGAATTCATATATTAGTTTCACTCTCTAAGCTGAATTACGGAGGGAAATGGATTTTTAAACAATAAATACAAAACAATGCAATATAAATACAATATTACATTCTTATTTCTAGTTTCACATGTATATATTAAACATTAAAGCTGGAGTAAGTCACTTTTTTCTCATTAATACATTTTATTTCTGATATTTTTGCCAACACTTCATACCACTGTCTTCATTTTAATAGATATAGTCTCTCTTACGTTCTGAGAGCTGATTGGCTGAGGCTGGTTCTCTCTTTTTCACTCAAAAAGCTGCTCTGAAGATGTGACAGAGGCTAAATTACATGCATGTGAAAACTAGTGATACTGTTTTGAGAGAGAGGAACTAGTTACATGGATTTTATTACATAGTGTTTTGTGATTTCAAAGCCCTGTATCCGACTCCAGCTTTAAGGTTAAAAAAGTACATAGGGCTCCTTTAAGTATTCGTCTTTTTATCTCCAGGAGTTGTTTTTCAACGTCTCTGCGGCTGATGCAGCGTCCAACCAGGCGGCTCAGGACCACATCCGTCAGACCATGGAGTCCCTGTGTCCAGCAGAGGGCAGCACCGGTACATATCACACTGGTGCTGTTAGAGAAGCGAGAGGAATTCACTGTCACGTCTATTTTCTTTTCCTCAGCCCGTCGCCCGTGGCTGGACATGTGCCTGGTCTCTTATCAAGACAAAGTTTACCAGACGTGCCACACCACAGTCTCCACAACTGCCCCTGAACCTGACCCGGCCTGACTCCCTCCAGGTTCAAGATCAATTTAAAGCTGGGGTACCTACCTTTAAAACCTCAAACTATCAAACGTGCTGAAGTCCATGTAGCTAGTTGCTAAGTCTGGTTCTATCACTAGACATGTATTTTTGGCCTCTGTCTCATCTTTAGACCAGCTTTTTCAGACAGAAAAGTGAAAAAGAGAGGACCACCCTCACTCAGCCATTCAGATCTCAGCCCCAAACGGTCATATAGTGCCTCCGGGGGCTCTTTCTACAAACTATGCAAAAGATAAAATGTTTTCTGAAGGCTGCGTGTTGTGGTATAATATGTTTTTACAGTAAAAACTTTCTATTTAGACGAAATAAAGTAACCCAGCTTTAACTGCAGTTCAACTCAAAAATAAATGTATAATTGTGCCTTTTACTTTACGTTTTAGTAAAAAGCGTGTACTTCTTCTAACATGTGAATAAAAATGTGTTTCCATGTGTCAGTCACTGCTTGCTAAATGCTTTTTAAATTACTTATTTCTCAAAAGCAAGACGCCTTTTTTCTCTGTCTGAATAGTTCACACGCAAAAACAAGTGGCTTCACACGGCTTTCAAATACATTTTTTTGTGGAGAGCCGGATAAATGTTAGTGCCATAAAAATAAACTCACCCCTTGTTGAGTGAAGTGGCAGAATATGGTTTCAAATGTTTCATACAGTGGACAGTGTAAAAGCCAAAAGGATACAACGCCTTTCACAGACCAAGGCCACAAAGCGCTTCACAGTAAAAACAGATAATATAAAATTTTAAATGTGCGTACAAAAAATAAAAATATAATTCATGCTTCATAGTTCCAGGTTGTAGCAGGAGAGAATCTTACTCTTGTCGTCCCTGAGCAGGTTGTTGTAAAAGTAAAACATAAGTAGGTGGATAATAGACCATAAGTTATTTTTTCACCAGCCCTACTTGGCCCCGCCCCACTCTACTCTACTCTACTCTACTCTACTCTACTCTACTCTACTCTGGCTGTATTTCCATAAAGCTTTAGCATCTGGTAACATATCCAAGTAACAAACCCACAACAAACCAGTATCCAGGGAAATTCTTTGGAAACCATGGCTTCCCGCAGCACTCTGGCTGATCACAGTAAGAACACTTTAGAACCTGCTCGGCCTGGATCGAACCAGGGCCAAGAGGGACTAAGGAAGGACCTTTGTATCGGTTAAACATATTCAGTGGAACTATACTTCCAATCAGGGTAGAGTAGGGCCAGGTAGAGCTGGTGGAATCTTCTTCAGTTCAGTTTGTTTCAAAGGGGACAATGCAGTTCAGTAAGTAAGTAATCTTTATTTATATACCGCCTTTTCACTGCAGATCGGAGTTTACAATTGTTATTTTTTTGGGCATTTGTCTCTCACTCCACACAGAGATGGGAGATGGTCGCCAGTACAGGAGGCGTATGCCAGAACTATTGTACATATTTTTAGTGGTAGGGGAAACCGGAGGAAACCTACGCAGATACAGGGAGAACATGCAAACTCCACTCAGAAAGGCCCTGGTCCGACCGGGATTTGAACCCAGGACCTTCTTGCTGAGAGGCTATGTTAAAAAGCCATTCAAATATCAGGGCTATACATTACATACATTATCAGAGGTCACCCAGCCCTCATTCTTCACTTTCTATCCATAAAAAAATCATTCATAATAAACTCATTCCCTCATCACACTTGGGTACAGATTTGTCTTTCCAAAATCCCTTTTTTGGGGTATACTTCACTGCGAATAAACTCAGAGAAACTCACTCAAAAATGTGTGAAGATAAAGATCAATCTACAGAAAGAGACTAGAATTATTTCACATGAACGCAGATTTCTATTTATTTATTGTTTGCATATGAACTCATCTTATTCTAAATGATTACCCAGAGGACAACAAGCTTGGACTAGACATAAATGATGGACTGAGTTTGACACTAGTCTCCTCCCACTAATCTTCCCACAGTCTGCCCGCCACAGACGCTCCTCTGTCCCACTCTTTTAGTCCTTTCTCCACTTTTACAGCAGCTGCTCGTAGATTTTTAAGCCTCTGACTGGAACGGATCAATTTTAATACAACAAATATATGGAATGTATTTTCTATCCATCGCCTGCAAACGGGAACTATTGCTATTACGCACCAACAAGTACTGGCCAGAAACTCGTAAACATCCAACCAACATTTTTCTAACCGATAATGTAACGGAACATACGCGCTCTATAGACGGGTTTCCCAGACCCACACCATGCTCTGTCTAGTCCTGAAACTGTGGTTGTGCAGCGAAGCCATAACGGGACATCTGACCAGACAAGAACGCGAGTATGGCTCCTCATCTCTCGCTGCCCAAACCCCAGAGTGGGGTCGTGTCCGCGGGGAGGGCTCGTCCAAAGACCCGGGAATCATTGTCGAGAGCGCCGCTTTGGATGACGTGAAAGTTTGGAGACAAAGGAGCGTGCCAAACTCCGTGCGTAAAAGGAAAGACTCATTACGCGCGAGAAACGTGGCTCTCTCTGCGCAGAAACTTGGATTTACTGGACGAATGGAGGATGAGACAGCTGCTGGTGCTGATATACTATCTCACGTTACTAATAAAAGTCACTTATTGCTGCGTAAAATACGACAAAGCGTGCGTAAGAAGGGAGAAGGACCGGACACGGCGCGCGTTCCTGTGGCCATGGCGCAGGAGATGGACGCGCCGTTTCTGCTCAACTCCAGCGACTACGAGGACGTGTTCCAGCTGCCGAACTTCCCAGACAGCACCCCGGTGTCGCCCGTCAGCCTGAGGCCCAAGAGGAAGCTGCACAATAACCCGTTTTACCCCGTGACCGCGGAGACGTACGGGGCTTACGCGGTGCTGGTGGTGGCAGGGCTGGTGTTCAGCGTGGGGGTCATCGGGAACGTGTCTCTGATGTGCATCGTGTGCCATAACTACTACATGAGAAGCATCTCCAACTCTCTGCTGGCCAACTTGGCGCTCTGGGACTTCGTGGTGGTCTTCTTCTGCCTGCCCCTGGTGGTGTTCCACGAGCTCACGAAGGACTGGCTGCTGGGGGACTTCTCCTGCAGGATTGTGCCATATTTGGAGGTGAGAAAGAGGGCTGTGTGTGTGTTGTAAAAGCTGCTTCCACTTTGGCCAAACCTGCGCGTGTTTCTCTTGAATGATTGCATTTGTGTTTTAGTGTGAGATATTAGACTCAGAGAGATTATAGTATAATCAAATTATTTCAAATAAAAATGTTTTGTCGCACAAGAATCATTGGGTAAATATCCATGCTTCAATCAAAAGTAAATATAAACCTGCTCCTTCTCCTGCGGCTTTATACAATTTGAAAACAAAACATTTGATCAATGTAGGTGACAATTTATTCAAACTGATAAAGTTCAAATAATTGTGGAAAAATCTTTATTTAAACTTAATGGCATTAGTATAGAATTATGTTAAGATTGTAATTCATTCGATTGATTTGTGTATAGCCCTAAATCACCAGTGACTTTGGTGGACCTTACAAAGTTGTTGAATCGCTAACAACAGATCAGAGAATCAAGCAGGAATAACAAACACACCGGAGCCATCGGTCCATAGGGAGGGGGATGACTGCTGTCCCTAAATGTTAATAACTGTCCATAAAAGTTTTGGATCATCACTGCCCTTAGACCAGACATGTCCAAACTAAGGCCCCAGGGCCAAATGCGACCCACTGTGTCATTTAATGTGGCCCTTTACCACCAGTATAGTCTTCTTGTACCTTGTATATCTCAGAACCTCTGTTATCCAGTTTTTAACTTTATTTGTATACTGACATTTGTTTTTGATTATTTCTCAGTTCCATATGACACTATGTAGCTGTGGTGTGGATCATTCTGAACATATCACACCCCATTTTGAACCCCAAAACATTCCGAATCCAGTCAAAATAGTTGTCAATGTTGTCGGCTCCTCGTCAAGTCTGGTGAACTAAAGTGGCCCTCTCTGACTTAAAAGTTTGGACACCCCTGTTGTAGACCCTCCTGCATCATTACGGAACTACTCAAAAAATTCAGTGGGTAAAAACGTATTGAAAGTAATGAAGTCACACATTTGATTTAAACAAAACAGTCTAATTTGGTTTTGCTTTAATGCCCCACAGTACTTGAAATGTACTGGGATTCTCGTCCAAACTTCTATTGTATCTTTAGGCAAGACATATACTCATAAATTGTATGAGTATGATGTGTTGGTGGTGGGCTGTTGGCATAAGTCTGTCCCAGGGCAGCCGTGGCTATTCATAGTAGTCGCCTGAAGCTTTAAAAAGACACATTTGTACCACGTTGGTCTGTAGAGATTGTCCCTGACTTGTGCCACCTGCTCGTTTCCATGGAGATACTACTCTTTTGGCTAATATCCTTCATTATTGAATTCAAAATGATAAACTGGCTCCAGTGTTGATGTGACATGAACACAGCGGTCTCTGTTGAATGTGAGACGTCAACATTGTGCCTAAAACTGGAATTAACTCTGTATTCACATGGAATCATTCAAATACAGATATTTACCATCATCATTCAGCGTTTACATGTAAGTGTCATGTTTCTGTATAGCGTTCTTCACAAAATTGCAATTTACTGTAATTTTTGACTATAAACAGCAACCCCTTTTTAATTTAGTCAAATCCTGTGTCTTGTCTAGTGAGGTAGCCCTGGTGTGTACTGTCTGGTGCACACTGGGGTAGCCTTGCACAGTTTTTCCAATGTGGTTTTACTGCAAATGGCAAATACATTCTTGAATCTTGTATCTTTTGTTGAATGCTGAGTTGGGCAGTCAGAAAACTTTATGGACATATTATTTGGACCACATCAAGTTTTAGTAGGACGCAGGTTTATGGTCAAAAGACTGTGAAATGAGCCCTGGAAGCTAACAGCTAAGGTAAACATGCTAACGTAAGTGAGTGTTTGCATTCTTAGATTTTATTATTGTATTTACAAAGCTTTTTCCACAACAAGCCTCATGAATTAAAACCTTTGTGAAGTCCTCTGAGACAGGTGCTTTTGTGATTTAGTGTTATACACAAATAAATTGGATTGAATTGGATTAATATACTAGTGTGCTTTATAGTCCAGTGAGTAATTTAGTTGCACTCTTTGCCAGAACCATTTACTGTTTAAAATGAAGTCAATCATGGGGGAAAGTTCTAAAATCACATTATTCTGAAACATACAGTATTTCATAGATATTGCGTCGCTATGGGTCCTCATAATCTAACCTTGTCTGCAGCTGATGTCAGTAAAGGTGAGCTGTCCTTAATCTCCAGCCTCCACAGGGATTAGACTCGGACCCCCCTCTGAGACGAAGAACAGAAGGGGCTGGGATTGTTTTAGGAAGAGAATTGACTTTTCTTTGTCAAAAACATTTAAAGACTTAGCGTCAATTCTATCCAATTTCAAGATGAGATCCGATGATCTTTATTCGTCCCTCAGTGGGAACTTTTCTGGTCCTCCACAACATTTCTGCCGGAGTCTTAAGCACCAAGCCAAGGCCAACATTGAACATGCTAAAGTTTAAACAATATGATTTCATGTGGGGTTGCACAATATATATCGAAAAATATCGTTATCGCAATATCATTGCATGCAATATCTATATCAATTTTTTTTTCTTCCTTTTATTAAAGACAACAAACAAACACATCAACATTCAACAAGAACAACAAACAAACAAAAGTATGTAAATATATGCATTTGAATGTCATTAATGTGCATATTTTTTGTTATTTGTCTCTTGCGTTTCAATGCAAGTTGCAATTTTAGGTGGAAGACTAAAATATCGCAATACTAAACACTCATACCGAATATCGCACTAATTTCCAATATCGTGCAGCCCTAATTTCATGCCATGTCATACGTCCTTGTTTCCATCAGCCCTAATTGGCTCTTCTTTGCTTGGTAACCATGGCAGCACTCTGGCCAATCACGGTCAGTTCGAACACTTTAGTAGCAGCTCAGTTTGGATAGAACCAGGACCAAGAGGAACTAAAGAAGGACCTGGTACTGGTTAAACAGGACCAGTGGAATTGTTTGTAGAGTAGAGTATCATTTTGCATATAAACGTCATGTGTCTCGTAAAGCAGGTTTGGGAAAATATGTTCAGAAATAAGGTAGAAGCAGAAACGTGCACTATTTTGTTAGCTCTGGAGATCAGGGCGCTCTAAAGAAAATATTTCAAAAAAGGTCAATTGGCCGCATTGCTGTACAGGCTGCTACAGGGTTAAAAGAAGTCAAAAAAGGAGCCGTGTGTTGTCCAGAAAGTACTGCATGTATATCAAAAGTGGTGATTTCTGTCAAACTTCTCTCTATTCAACTGAAGATTACAGCAGAAAAAAACTAGCTAGATACCGACATATTTTGCTGATGAAAAGTAGATGGTCCAATCTTTCAGAATCTGGTGTTATATTTTTCATAGTCATAGCACACAATAATCTATGGGTCTCAAAAGTCGGTAAAATCATCAAAAACGACTGGCAGTCAATGAGTTAAGATAGTTCAATGATCAGACTTTTAGAAAGCTGATGTGGTTGAATTACTCGCTTGAGAAAGAAAGATAAAATAGATTGTGGTGTAAAATGTATGGATTAGTCTTGCATGATACTGATAAAAAGCAAGTGCTGGGATGGAGTGGTTTAAAAGGACCGTAATCTTACCAAAAACAGAAGGAGGATTAGACCTAATGGGACCGGTCCACCCCCAGCACTTAAGGGGTCAATGCATTAACCTACATCACTTTCGGTCTCCGGCTCAAGGCTTTGTGTACGACTCACGGGTGGGCGACTTTGATCAAACGAACATCCCAAATTTGTTTAGTGATCATTCTTGTAGCAGAAAAAGTAAAAAACTAGTCCGTAGACAATGACCAGCACTCAAAATGGCCCTGCAACATATTTGAGTCATGTTGGATTATACACTCCAGGATTATGTATCCAAATTCTAGATATAGTTTGTAAATGACTATAGTTCGTCCATCTCGGCAAATGTGGCATGTTCATTCAATTCTAAATCTGTCTTGACCTTAAATACAGTACTCTCTGGACTATAAGCTCCTCCTTTTTCCAACCACTGAGGACCAATGCAGCTTAGATAGAGTTGCAGCATAAATGTCCTGGATTTTCACTATCCTGCATCGACAAGTCCCCAAAAAAAGTGGGGAAGAAACTACAGGGAGGTTCATTTTGAGAGAGAGAAATGCTCCAGCAGGCTGACTGAGACTGAGGCTGTAGATCCAGGACTTTGGCTAAAGCTTTAAATGTGTTGGAAAGTTAATTTAGAATTCATATATACAAGAAAGATTTCTATAACAAACTTAAACCGGGGCGATAGTAGCTCAGATGGTAGAGCATTGGCCTTTGGGATGGAAGGTCGTGGGTTTGAGCCCACATCAAGACCTACTCCAACGTCTCCCAAGGCTATGGCACCACTAATGTAGCAGCCATCTTCCTGTGGACTCACCACCTGCAGAGGATCAGAGGGAATGGGGCTATGCGCATTGGGTGGCAGCTCTCATTGTCACAACCCAGAAATGGACTAATAAAGGGGTTGAAAATGAATGAATGAATGAGCATTAAACCGGGGGTATCAAACCAGTCCTCAAAGGTGTGGCAGCAGGATTTCATTCCAATCAAGCCGGAGCACACCATACTCTACCCATTCCCTCAAATGAGTCCAATCTTCACCTTGAAGGTACATAGGAGGATTTTCTACTTCAATCATTTTGGTGATACGTGCTCGTCAAACAAGACCAGAGTTATTTTCAAAAAGTGGAGAGGGAGGTTCTTTCTTAAAAGGAAAATTCTCCTATATACCTTTGAGTCTTGAGAAGAAAAGTTGGAATATGTTTTGCTCCTGCTTGGTTGGAATACAATCCTACACTCACACTAGCCCTTTGAGAACCGGTTTAACATCCTTGATTTCAACATTAAACATTTACCTCCATAACTTGTCTTGTTTTCTGTTCAGGTTGCCTCTTTAGGAGTCACCACATTCACCCTCTGCGCTCTTTGCATCGACCGTTTCCGCGCCGCCAACAACGTCCAGAACTATTACGAGATGATCGAGAACTGGGCCTCCACCACCGCCAAGCTGGCCGTCATCTGGATAGGCGCTCTCCTCTTGGCCCTGCCCGAGCTACTCATCCGGCAACTGGTCACCGAAGAGTCGGATCCGCCCGAAGTGACCACCCCGTGCGAACGCTGCGTCATACGGATCTCCACGGACCTCCCCGACACCTTGTACGTCCTGGGTCTCACCTACGACGGAGCGAGGCTGTGGTGGTATTTTGGATGCTACTTCTGCTTGCCGACTCTTTTCACAATTTTCTGTTCCCTCGCCACGGCGCATAAGATCCGCAAGGCCGAGCGCAACAACGTCCGAGGTAGCAAGAAGCAAATCCAACTGGAAAGCCAAATGAACTGCGCCGTCGTGGCTTTGGCGATTTTGTACGGGTTTTGCATCATACCCGAAAACATTTGCAACATCTTGAGCACCTACATGGCCGCCGGGATTCCTCGCCGGACTTTGGAAATACTTAAATTAGTCAGTCAGTTGTTGCTGTTTTGTAAATCCGCTGTTACGCCCGTGTTATTGTTTTGTCTTTGTCAACCGTTTACGAGGGCGATACTGGACTGCTGCTGCTGCTGTTTGGAGGATTGTGGGCCAGAAAGGTCTCCGGCGACAACCAGCGATAATGAAGTCACCACGACTGAACTCGAACTGTCTCCGTATAACACCATTCGAAGAGAGACGCCTTCCTCTACGGGTTATTCGACAGTTGGGACGCACTGTTGAGGATGGCAGGGTGTAAAGCCATAGACACACACTGTATTTATGTGAGAGAAGAGAGAATCGGATAGTATTTGTTTGGATTTAAAAGGTTGGGCTTAAAAGGCGATTGAGGTCTGGCAGTTTGGTTTCCCCAAATTGTGTAACCGCAAATCAGGTTTATTCATACATACCCATTTTAATCAACTCTATGATAGGAAACTGACTCTCCGTACAGAATTGTTTTGGATTGGATACGTGATCAAAAACCTGTGGTCCGAGTCTGCATGTTTACTGAGGCAAGGGAGATCTGAGCCTGCATGTATACTGAGACAAAAGACAGACCTCTCTTGGCATACTGAGACAAGAGTGGTCTGAGCCTGAATGTATACTGCAACAAAAGAGGTCTGAGTCTGCATGTATACTGAGACAGGAGTGGTGTGACCTCACATGTATACTGAGACAGGAGTGGTCTGCATGTATACTGAGACAGGAGTGATGTGCCCTCACATGTATACTGAGACAGGAGGGGTGTGACCTCACATGTATACTGAGACAGCAGTGGTGTGACCTCACATGTATACTGAGACAGGAGGGGTGTGACCTCACATGTATACTGAGACAGGAGGGGTGTGACCTCACATGTATACTGAGACAGGAGTGGTGTGACCTCACATGTATACTGAGACAGGAGTGGTGTGACCTCACATGTATACTGACACAGGAATGGTGTGACCTCACATGTATACTGAGACAGGAGTGGTGTGACCTCACATGTATACTGAGACAGGAGGGGTGTGACCTCACATGTATACTGAGACAGGAGGGGTGTGACCTCACATGTATACTGAGACAGGAGGGGTGTGACCTCACATGTATACTGAGACAGGAGGGGTGTGACCTCACATGTATACTGAGACAGGAGGGGTGTGACCTCACATGTATACTGTGCCCAGCTCATGCAAACACAGTGATCTCTCTGGCTTGAATCGACTTTGACCGTACGACTGTTTACGAACGAAACCGCACATTTGTAGCTAACATAATTTATTTAGTTTGTTTTGCTTTTGTTAAAGTCACCACACTGAGAAAAGTCATTTTACACTTATCACTTACTATTTGTTTGTTTTTGTATTTTATGTTTGAGAAGAATTATTATTTAGTTTAAATTGGAAAGCACTTAGCCAGTTTGAGGATGGCATTAAATCAGATTACAAAGTTTATTGCCGCTTTTATTATTATATTATTATTATTATGTCATGACATGTAATGTTGTACTTTTACATGGATGTATAAATGTACAGTAATATATTGAGAATGTGAATGCTGAAGGTTTAGTTGTTTGAATGAATTAGTATTTGTCATTTTGTATAGTTTTTTATTTTTAGCTCGTTACTGGTGAATTATCATGAAGCTGCTCACGAAAGATTAAACATTATCGTAAACATGACAATTAAGTGACATGGCTTCATCATCAACTTGTTTTTGCATAACTTTCCCACCAAGAGGGAGGAGCAGTGACTCTATTCAAAGCGCCTTCAAAAGATCTTCACTTCATGCTTTCACTAGATACTTTATATAGATGGGCAATGCTAACCCGCTAGGTCAATGAATCCCAATAGTTCAGAAACAGTCAGTGTCACACTCACCATTTTGGGCTTAAAAAAAGTCCTGTGACCCTGGTGTTTTATAATTAAAACCATGCAGGTGTTCGCCAATCAGATTCATTCATTCACATGGGTAACTCCAGTTTGCCTTAGCAACAGCCTTAGCAACACGTCTGCCCCCGTTAAGGCTCAACGCTAATGCAGTGGAAGAAATGCCCATATAAGGAAGTTGGCTTCAGCTATGGAGCTAATGGGAGCCCTCACATCGATAAAATTCTGCATTTTTGAATAAAATCCCAACAATGTAAATGGCAACTTTCTTTGACTTGTCTCTAATGAGATCACTGAAACTTTGAAATGACATCACAGAATTCCAAATAACCTGAAGTATAAAGCGATGGTGGAGGGCGATTGAAATGTCATAGTGAAATGGACACAAGTCAGACACTTATTTCTCTGTAATCCCTGGGTCTCTCTCCACGGTCTCTCTCTACGGTCACTCTCTCTGGGGTCTCTCTTGGGTCTCTTCATGGTCTCTCGCAGTGGTCTTTCCCTGGTGTCTCTTTGGTCTCTCTCTTTCTCTCTCTGGTCTCTCCGGTGTCTCTCCCTTTCTCTCTCTGGTCTCTCCGGTGTCTCTCTCGCTCTCTTTCTGGCCTCTCCGGTGTCTCTTTCGCCCTCTTTCTGGTCTCTAATGTCTCCTTATTTTCTCATAAAGTTGTCAAGAAGTGATGAAAATAATGAAAAACATATTCATGATGATACAAGACCCCGAGATACTTGTCTTGTTCACGAGTGAGGGAAGAATGGAGCGTGAGATTGACAGGCGGATCGGTGCAGCGTGGGCAGTGATGCGGTCTCTGTATCGGACCGTTGTGGTAAAGAGGGAGCTGAGCCGAAAGGCAAAGCTCTCAATTTACCGGTCAATCTTCGTTCCCTCCCTCACCTATGGTCATGAGCTTTGAGTAATGACCGAAAGAACGAGATCGCGGATACAAGCGGTCGAAATGAGCTTCCTCCGCAGAGTGGCTGGGCACTCCCTTAGAGATAGGATGAGGAGCTCAGTCACACGGGAGGAGCTCGGAGTAGAGCCGCTGCTTCTCCACGTCGAGAGGAACCAGTTGAGGTGGCTCGGGCATCTGTTCCGGATGCCTCCTGGACGCCTCCCTGGGGAGGTGTTCCGGGCACGTCCCACCGGGAGGAGGCCCCGCGGAAGACCTAGGACACGCTGGAGGGACTATGTCTCTCAGCTGGCCTGGGCACGCCTTGGGGTCCCCCCGGACGAGCTGGAGGAAGTGTGTGTGGATAGGGAAGTCTGGGCGTCTCTGCTTAGACTGCTGCCCCCGCGACCCGGCAACGGATGAAGCGGAAGAAAATGGATGGATGGATGGATATTCATGATGTAGGCCAGTATAAATTATGTTCAGACATGAGACTGAAATGGCGGCTTTGTTAATGTTGTCACTACCATCTGGGCAAACACCAGGACACTTCTTTAAATTTCAAAAATGTATTATTCTGTGTCCTGTGTATTTCCCTCACACTTCCTCATGTCTCTCTGCTGTTCACATAAACACACTGGAGGAAGAATGTGTGCCTCGGCACCATCTCTGGAGATCTGTGTCCAAATTCAAAGCGACAAAAGTAGCAGCTTAAAATTCGGCAAGTGCTTTACATTGCTCCAAACCGTAATCAATCTAATAATCTGTATGAATCGTGTGTTTGCTTGTCTGACGGCGCTCATAAACTCCACCACAGTTGCGTATCTATATTTCTGCAGATAGAAGTCAGTGCAGCTGAGACGGAACAAAGAGAGCAGCTGAAGAAACCGGGAGGAGCTGAGTCACACTGGGATCTTTGTGTTCGCAGACCGCAGACACCCTCACACTTAATAATCGCACTCATCGCTGCTTGCGTTTATTTAAAATCAACGGATAGCTAAGGCCTTCGCGATACCTTTCTCCGCTCTCGAAAAGGTGAGGTCGATATCAAAGAAAAGTATGTAAGTTGCAGATTAATAAAGGGTAATATAGGCTCTGTCAGCTCATTGTATATGCTGAGTCTGGCACAAGGAGAACATGCAAATAACATGTAGAAAGGTTTCCCGGGAATCAAACTTTCTGGCTGTTATAATGGCAGTTACATGTTGTACGTACCTTGGCCTAAAACGGTTTGGGTCTTTTACTAGTTTGATAGATTTTTTTGTCTGTCTCATTACATAATCACATTTTTCAGACGGAAAAGAGATAAAGAGAGGGCCACGCTCACTCAGCCAATCAGCTCTCTACCCAAGGTGTCAAATAGTGACTGGCAGAGATCTTCAAACTCTTTCAAGTATGCAAAAGATTAAAGTTTTCCAATAAGATAAGACAGTATGTTTTCATATAAAGCCTTGTCTTCACTAGCCCTACTCTACTCGGCTCGGCTCTATTCTACTACGTTGCGTTTCCATTGCGCTTTAGTATCCAGTAACGTATTCTAGCAACCTACCCACAGAAATTCAGTATCCGGGAGAATTCCTCGGTAACCATGGCTTCTTGCAGCACTCTGGACTATCAGTGTGAGTTAGTACCTTTAGTACCAGCTTGGCCTGGATTGAACTACAGATGAAAAATAGCCTCCTTGGATAATTCTGGCTTTTTTTACTCATGTTTAATCATGTGTCTTATGAAATTGCATTAACCCCTTTGAAATAAACTAAACTGAAACTGAAACTGAGATCCAGATCCTAGAGGGACCTGGTTCTGGTGAAATAGAGCGGATGGAAACACTCCCAACTGGGGGCCAAATCTCTCTCTCTCTCTGTTGGGGTGAACAATACATCATTAATATGGGACAAAGTTAGGTACCCCAGCTTTAAATGCTAATTGCAGTACATTCCATGCATAGCCATATAATAATCATAGAGATTATGTGGTGGAACAAAACTCAATGAATTTATAGATTATACTCATTTGACTATTTTCTTTTGGAAACTGCACCTGAAGAACAAATCTTTCCCAACACTGCATGTCCCGCCTCTGCCCCGAACTCAGCAGATCTCAGCAGCTCTGGAGCCGGATTCAGACACAGACAGGTCTTTGTCTCGGCCTGAGTCCCCGTTGCCATGACCAGGCACACAGATTTCATTCTCACATTATTATCACTGTGGGCGTCTGGGCCGGGCCGCGAAAACCATGGGCAATGTGGACCCAACTGACACCAAAAGCTGGAGTAGCTGAAGGAAAGATAAGATGGACTTTATTGATCTCACCCTGTAGAAATTTACATATGAACTAGACCAATTGGATTTCTGATAGATTCTTCAAAGAGTATAGCACTACTGCAAATCTACCAAGACACTGCAGTCTGCCCAAACTCCCAGCTCGAACCAGGACAGCACTGATCAGATGTAGACGTGAGGTTGGTGTTTTTTTAAGACCAGACTGGATATTTAGTACCAGACAGTTTGGGCTGCTGCCTCGTCTTCCTCAGAGTGGTCATGTGATGGTGGTCATGTGTTTTGTCAGCTTTTTTACACAGTTTTTGGGGCTGTCTTCTAACCACCAGAGGCAGGACAACAGCCTCTGCTTGTCCTACAGTAATTTGTCTTACTACTACTACTCGTCGACCCAGAAATGTCATCTTGAAAATACCAGGCATATCAATCAATAATATCATAAAATGTGATTTAGTCCCTCTCTCTGGTTTGTCTTTCTCTGTTCTCTCTCTCTGGGCTCAGTTGCCTTGGGGTTGGTGGACGATGCTGCTGAAATAGTCTAGACCCAAGCCCCAGGTCTCCAAGATGTCTGCCCATTCAAATCAATGTCCTGCGCTTATTGGCTTGTGCACCACCGACTTCCAAACCATAACAGAAGTGACACATTCTGGCCAGCTCTGGTTCTCCCACCGGTGTGCAGTAGGTGCGCAGTCGTGCTACAGTACTTCTGCAGAACTAGAGTAACGAGTGAGCATTCTGACCCATCAGAGCTGGACTGGGACAAGGGCGAGCCAAGTTTGTGGCACAAAAAGTGTGGATATAAAGAAAACTGATAGATTTAAAAACCAAAAAAAAAATTAGGATGACGAGAGACACTAAAATCCAAACAAAACCCAAACTTTGTGACAGCAGTGGTTTTCCTGTCTGTTGAGGACTACCTGTTTTAGTTAACATGGAGGTCTATGGGAAAATCTCCTATACAGCCCGTGTGGATTTAAGCTGCAGTACCGCGGGTGGCCTCTTGTCCATGTGCAGACGGGTTTAAGCAGCAACACCCTATACATAGTTCCCACATGACGTCACTACATACGGGGATTTGCCGACCCGGCGCCATTTGTGTTGGCATTCTGTGGGCAAAACAATAGAAAAAGAAGCTGAAACGTGTTAATGTCGTGATAAAGTTGAAAATGGTCATCTCCTGCTCGGTCAATGGATGTTCAAATCGTGCCGGAGGTTCCGTTAAACTTGGATTTTACAGTATACCCATCATTAGACTTCATGAATGTGAGAAGACTAAGCTTTTGTCAGAACAACCACGGAGGTTATGGCTTGCGAAGATAAACAGGCAAGAAACTCCCTCAAAACACGCAAGAATATGCTCGGAGCACTTTGTGTCAGGTGCGTATCGTATCTTATAATGTGTTGACAGACGTAATTTACTCAGTACTAACTTGTGTATGCTGATATCTGGTAACTTGAGAGTTTCATTATTTAGCGTTAGATTACTTTATTATGAGGAGGATCGGTGTCGCGTCCGAGGCTCTCGAGGGCAACGTAAATGTATTAAATAGATAATAATAGTTCTATGGTGGGCTAAAAACAATGTTCACAAACAGCATTGCTTCTGTAAAAAGATCTGTGTCATAAAATAAACTGCTCTTTACGCCTGGAAAAATCAGTTGCCCACCATTCACCAAAACATACGGTCAAAAACGCGGAAATAAACAATAACAGCAATCCAGAGTGTCCGTGTGGCATTAGCATTAATTAAATTAATTGTTAATATAATTAAAATAATTAAATGGAGCTCCAACTGGTATTAAATCTAAAGTTTTTGAGAAATGTTTGCATTGCTTGTTAATTTTTGCTGCAAATATGTAAAACATGTCCGTAGCACGTTAAACTGTGGTGCCAATGTATTAATATACAATTATTTGCTCAAAAGTTGCCCTTTTTTTCCAATTTGCGTTTGAATATCTACATTTATTCTCATTCTTCTGTTTAATGGAATGCACAAACACAGCAGCGTGCCATCAAAGATGGCGTCTCGGAGGAGGTCATGTGACATTCATTGGTCTGTGGGAACTATGTATCCAGATCATAAAATACACCCATAACTCGACCAGCAATTATACGATAAGATATTCCTTTATCCGTCCCACAGTGCGGAAATTTCAGTGTGATCGTTGCGCACATTACAGCAGAGAAGGAAGGACAAACGGAATCCGTAGAATAAAAATAATAAGATGGTGAAATAGAATAAAATAAAACAAACTCTGGAGCTATAATTGCACTTGGTTCAGAAGCAAACTTTAGCAGCGAAGAATATGAGCAGAATAAACATCAGTAAAAATATCAACCGGTAAAGTGACTAGTGAATTCTTACCAGTGACCGACTCAGCAGTTCTCGTTATACAGTCTGACAGCAGCAGGGAGGAAGGACCTGCTGCTGGCGGCACGGTGGCTGAGTGGATAGCACTCTCGCCTCTCAGCAAGAAGGTCCTGGGTTCGAATCCCGGCCGGACCAGGGCCTTTCTGAGTGGAGTTTGCATGTTCTCCCCGTGTCTGCGTAGGTTTCCTCCGGGTGCTCCGGTTTCCCCTATCACTAAAAATATGTCCAATAGTTCTGGCATGCGCCTCCTGTACTGGCCCTGCTCCCATCTCTGTGTGGAGTGAGAGACAAATGCCCAACATTAACAATTGTAAACCGCTTTGAGACTCAGATCTGCAGTGAAAAGGCGGTATATAAATAAAAACTTACTTACTTACTTACCTGCGAAACCTCTCCATCACACAGTAATGTACAATCCGTGGCCTCCCACTTCTCTGTTTCGAGTTTTCAGCTTGTTTTGGCGTGACCCACCCTTGAGCACGCATCAAAATGAACAATAAATGTCTGAATATTCATGAGCCCGCTGAATAATTCCGTTACATTCTTGCCTAATTGCGCTCGGTGGAGACCCTTTGTTGGGGCACGTTGTTGGGTAATCAGCGTTTTTGGCTTTGATTTGCTGCTGGCACAGACCTTTATGTTCATGTCCTTTGTGGATGTGGCACAGCGGCCCCTTCACTGCTCCAGTAATGAGACAGGGGCCATTCATTCCCAAACAATAAGGCGACGGTACAACAAGGCCCGGCCGCTCGACGGGAGGCTGACTGATCTTTACCCGAGCGCTCTCAGCTCTGCGCCCTTCTGCCTCTCCTCTGGGAACGCCACCAAAGCCCCGGCGACGGCTGAGCGGGGTGGGCACCTTACAATGGATTACAATAAATTATCAGCGATGGAATGAGGGCTGGTCAGGCCTGGCTGGAGATCAGGGTGATGAGAAGGGAGATCTCATCATCCATGGCGGTTGGTAAAATGAACTAAGTATCTAGTAACTATCATGCATCTTTTGGTATTTGAATTGTTTTTACTTTGTACATAATGTTTCACTTCTTCAATAGTTTTTTACATAAAAAGCTGGCAAACCTGTATTTTTAAATGTGTTACTTTTATCTCTGTGCTGCACTTTGTAAACTTGTTTTTTAAAATGCGCTATATACAGTAAATAAACTAGGTGAATTTTGTTAAAAATGATTATGAGACTATTTACTGTTGCTTGATTGTGAACAAGTCTCTCCGTGGTCTCACCCCCAAAGTACATCTGAGACATGTGGGTGCCAACTGAACCAACTGGGACTCTGAGGAGCACAGGGACTGGCCTCCTGCTGGGACTATGAGGAGCACAGGGACTGGCCTCCTGCTGGGACTCTGAGGAGCACAGGGACTGGCCTCCTGCTGGGACTATGAGGAGCACAGGGACTGGCCTCCTGCTGGGACTATGAGGAGCACAGGGACTGGCCTCCTGCTGGGACTATGAGGAGCACAGGGACTGGCCTCCTGCTGGGACTCTGAGGAGCACAGGGACTGGCCTCCTGCTGGGACTATGAGGAGCACAGGGACTGGCCTCCTGCTGGGACTCTGAGGAGCACAGGGACTGGCCTCCTGCTGGGACTATGAGGAGCACAGGGACTGGCCTCCTGCTGGGACTATGAGGAGCACAGGGACTGGCCTCCTGCTGGGACTATGAGGAGCACAGGGACTGGCCTCCTGCTGGGACTCTGAGGAGCACAGGGACTGGCCTCCTGCTGGGACTATGAGGAGCACAGGGACTGGCCTCCTGCTGGGACTATGAGGAGCACAGGGACTGGCCTCCTGCTGGGACTATGAGGAGCAAAGGGACTGGCCTCCTGCTGGTGCCAGAGTCAGGACTACACATGGGAAGGCAGCATTTGAGATTTATGCAGCTAAAGTCTGGAACAGTTTTCCTGAAAATGCGAGACAGAGAGGCTATAAGAATCTCAATCAAATTAAAAAACAGCTTCTCGATTGCTGTTTTTAACTTATCTTTAACTCCAGGTAAAACTACACTACTATTTCTGTAATTATTAAAGGTTTTTATCTTGTTTTGTTAAGCTCTTTAAGTTGCCTTGTGTATGAACTGTGCTATACAAATACACCTGCCTTGCCTAACTTTGTCATCTCATGTTTCACGTCCAACTGCAGAGACCAGGGAAAGACCAATGTCTCAGCAGGTCTGGGAACGCCTCAGGACTCCCCCGGATCACTGGAGGAGGTGTGGGGAGGGAAGTCTGGGCATCTCTGCTTAACCCCCTCTGCAACCCGGCAATGGATAAAGCAGAAGAAAATGCACAGATGTTTTAGAATAAAGTCTTCAGTAGCAAATATGTGTTGGAACAAATATGGAAGATACAAAATGTCAGCCGCCTGCCCATTTCCTGTGCTTCCACCAACTTTAACTTTGACTAATACATAAATTAGACCTGTATTTAGTGCAAACCATAAGCTTATAACAGGTCACCCACATCCATAAGATACTAAACCTGCTTTGACTTATTTAAATCTAAAATATCCAGAAGTCTTTGCTTATGTTACTAGTTTTGAGGTTTTTTTTTATGTAGCAATGTGTCAGATTTTCATGTCAAGTCATCATTAAAGGGCCCTAATCTGTCAAAAGGCTTTAATAGAACATGGTCTTTTCAAACACTTCTTTAGCTGATACAGTAGTTCAACCGAGTTATTAGAATTTCAACATGAGTTTTAGAGCCCCTAAATATTCTTATCATACACTACGATGGCCCGCCCTCCACCGTTTCACTAATCAGAAAGTCTGTGATCCGGGTTGCCAAAACTAACAGCGTCGAGCTAATCGCACTGGTAAAGTACCATGTGGCTGTAGAACTAAAAAAGGTGTCGTTATGAAAACAAGGATTTCTATCAGGGCCTTTGTGAAAATGGTGTTGGTTGTGGATCTCTTGTCTATTCCCATATCATGTTTCCAGCTGGATTTGTCTGCATATCTGGCAACCTGAGTCAAGGAGAGTGGGAGAGGTTGCAGTATCACTTTTGGCCAGATTTTTACATACTGCTCCTTTAAAATGTCCTGTTCATAATGAAACAATGTTTGAGATTTGCCTTAACTCAAGTCACTAAGACATCTGAATTCCCAATGCATGATTTTTCCATATATTTCCACCGCAGAGGGACCATTCCTGATTGTTTTCCTGTTACGGGGTTGGGTGAACTCTGGGGAGGGGGTCCGGGGGTGAGAGAGCGGTGGGCATTGAGTCTCGGCCCGTGACCTAAATGCAGCAGCCGTCCCCTGCCCTGGCGGAGGACGGGACAATAGAGCTGCCATTGTGTGCCACCGGCTGCTCCCACCCGATGGAGCGCATTATAGAGAGGAGGTCTGAGCGGGACGTCCCACCCACTCACATGTCGACAAATGTTCGTGCAGCTTATGAATGACAGCCATCAAATATTATTGGGAGGGCTTTTTCACAGCCAGATTTATTCTAGTGACGTTTTGAGCCTCCTTCAGCAAATCTTTTCAAATTTACTGACGATAAAAACAACAACTTTTGACACATTTTCAGAACGGAAATATCTGTTAAGCTCTTTCAGTCAAAGATTAAACATGGAATTATTCAATCCCTCAGTTGTATGCAAAGCTAAACAGAAGTGTTTTTAACCTGGATTTTAACATTGTCAGAGTAGAATCCGTTCTCATATTTTCAGGAAGACTGTACTTGTTGATTTGTCCATAACAGTCCATAAATGTCGCTGAATGTGGAGTGTCCTGGATCATCACCCCTGTCCTTAGACCCTTCTGCATCAGCGAGGAACAACTCCAAAAACCCAGTGGGAGAAAGTGACGGCCCACATTGAAGGAGATATCTGCTCCACAGACGGACGGGCAATTTGTCATTTAAAGAACAGGAAATTTTCCACATTATTTTTGGCTGTTTCAACTTACAATGACACCAACCCTAACCCAACATTAATATTTACAAATGAAATACTAAAAGTGAGACATTTCAGGGAGGTCCACATACAGACGGCTGTAGATCCATTTCAGAGATTGATGTTGTACTAAATGTCCATTACAGAGGTAGGTCTAAGGGATTTTGTATAATGTTTGTGAATTTGTGAAGGCCACCGTTCACAACTGAAAACTTCCTCTGAGTTTCAAATGGCCCTGGTCTCTGTCTGCTCTGGTCTCTGTCTGCCCTGGTCTCTGTCTGCCCTGGTCTCTGTCTGCCCTGGTCTCAGTCCGCCCTGGTCTCAGTCTCCCCCTGGTCTCCGTCTGCCCTGGTCTCAGTCTGCCCCTGGTCTCTGTCTGCCCTGGTCTCAGTCTGCCCTGGTCTCAGTCTCCCCCTGGTCTCCGTCTGCCCTGGTCTCAGTCTGCCCCTGGTCTCAGTCTGCCCTGGTCTCAGTCTCCCCCTGGTCCCGTCTGCCCTGGTCTCCGTCTGCCCTGGTCTCCGTCTGCCCTGGTCTCCGTCTGCCCTGGTCTCAGTCTGCCCTGGTCTCAGTCTCCCCCTGGGTCTCCGTCTGCCCCTGGTCTCAGTTTGCCCCTGGTCTCAGTCTGCCCCTGGTCTCAGTCTCCCCCTGGTCTCCGTCTGCCCTGGTCTCAGTCTGCCCTGGTCTCAGTCTCCCCCTGGTCTCCGTCTGCCCTGGTCTCAGTCTGCCCTGGTCTCTTGCCCTGGTCTCCGTCTGCCCTGGTCTCAGTCTGTCCCTGGTCTCCGTCTGCCCTGGCCTCAGTCTGTCCCTGGCCTCAGTCTGTCCCTGGTCTCCGTCTGCCCTGGCCTCAGTCTGTCCCTGGCCTCAGTCTGTCCCTGGCCTCAGTCTGTCCCTGGCCTCAGTCTGTCCCTGGTCTCAGTCTGCCCTGGTCTCTTGCCCTGGTCTCTGTCTGCCCTGGTCTCAGTCTGTCCCTGGTCTCAGTCTGCCCTGGTCTCTTGCCCTGGTCTCCGTCTGCCCTGGTCTCAGTCTGTCCCTGGTCTCAGTCTGCCCTGGCCTCAGTCTGTCCCTGGCCTCAGTCTGTCCCTGGTCTCAGTCTGCCCTGGTCTCTTGCCCTGGTCTCTGTCTGCCCTGGTCTCAGTCTGTCCCTGGTCTCAGTCTGCCCTGGTCTCTTGCCCTGGTCTTTTTCTGCCCTGGTCTCCGTCTGCCATGGTCTCAGTCTGTCCCTGGTCTCAGTCTGTCCCTGGTCTCAGTATGCCCTGGTCTCTGTCTGCCCTGGTCTCTCGGTCTGTTATGACAGTGTGTTTTGGAGGACTCCGGTCTGGACTAAATCTCTCGCTGTTTATGGTCCTCTCTGCAAACACCAGCTCTGGAATCTCAACAAGTCCCTCTAGTCCCGCCCACTGCAGAACAACGTTGGCTTTACCCGTCAATCAACTCTGCTGTGTTTAAGGTGCACTCTTTGAATAGATTCTTTTGTGTTTTGTGTTATGGAAAATATGCAGGATTGTGGTATGTTAAGTATTTTGACGATTATGACCTGCTCCTACACTTTATTTCCCGGTGCAGAAGTCCTGTCACAAGTGGAGGAGCTCAAGTCTCTCAAGTCTTGATCAAGAGCGACGGAAGGGTAGAGCGTGTGGTGTAGAGGGAGCAGCGTCTTCATTCAGAGCTCTCAATCCCAAGGCCATTGAAGACAACAGCCACAGACTTTTTCAGTTGCCAACTCTCCCTCATCCTTTTTATTGACAACAGATGGTACAAATGACACTTACGTACAAAACAGCAGAGAGACAATATAGGTCCAGTTACATATATGGAAATGCTATAGTCGATAATGTCCATACCAGTCTGATAAAAGATACAACCAAATTTGACCATTTAGCAAGTTTGAAATGAGATTCAAAAATGCCTGTGGACACCATAGACCAGGCACGTCCAAACTCAGGTCCGAGGTACAATTGCGGCCCGCTGCTTCATTCTATGTGGCCCTATGCCTTGTTAAGTTCTTAGTGTTATCCATCCAACGTCGGCTTCTCCATGTGAAGCTCAGAACCTTTTGAATCTATTTGTTTGTATGCACTGACTTTTTTTTTTCCATTACGGCTATTCAACTAACTGCAGCTCTCACCGTCTCAAAATATACCAATTCTAGTCAAAATAGTTTCACAATCTGTTTCTTCGACCCCCGGTCAAGTCTGGCAAGCCCTCATAGACTGTATTTCGATGGACAATGCTAACCCGCTAGCTCAATGAAGCCCATAGGGAAGTGCAAAATGAACAAAGTTTTGCTCCAACTCTCTCTTAACTTAACTTACATTGAACACACTTAAAAAATCCATGGTTGGGCGCTCTCTATGATTCTGGATACTGTCTTTGTAAATACAGATATGAGCCATACAAGGATTGACCAATCAGACGCCTTTATATACGGTTTATGGTTGAAACACAGTGGAAAGAAACATGGAATATTCATAGCAGCAGCAACAACAGTGCGCTCTGTCTGTGAGGCGCAGGCTGTTGGGACGTCCTGAATATGGATGAAGACAACATAAAAAGCTCTGTACTCGAGAATGATAGGTTCATTCATCATTTAGTTTTTATTTAAACAAACAAAAACATTACAAAGAGAACACAGCATGGATAACATACACCGACATAACCACGTATAAACATCAGAGGGGGCGTGTCCCGGCTGTAGAGGGTCCATGAGCACGTGCGCTGATGTGCTTGCAATCTCACTCCTCGCCTGTGGGGGTGTACCCGGAAACAGAGTTATCCAGTGTATTCTTACAACAAAATCTTTCCTCTGGAAAACGGCTTTACAGCTTGGTCTAAAAGTTGGCTCTTGGCACAGATGCTGTCAATGCTGAGGGGCAAGAGCTCTGGTGTGTGTCGTCTGGGGCTCACTGGGGTAGTCTTACAAAGTTTTTCCTATGTGGTTTTCCTGCAAATGGCAAATAAATGAATCTGAATCTGGGAGTTGTTTTTTTTTTTTTTTTTAGATCAATATGTTTTTACAATACGCTTGTGAATGCAGTCATTTTACAAACAACAAAATCAAATGGGGTTTGTTATTTTCAAAGAGATGGGTTCTGGCGGGGGCCCAGACAGGTTCCTTCCTTTGCCTAATGGTAGATCCGCCCCTGCCCACAACTACAAGCGTGACAGAAATGTGATAATTTGTCTTTTGTAATTCTACCCATTGTGTTAGAGAGATTATCTTTCAAGTTCACCATCATGACAGGTGCTCAGCGTGTGTGTGAGTGTGTTTCAGTTTGTGTTTGTGTCTGTATATGAGGTGTCAGATGCACCTGCTCGCCATTGTTCATTAAATTAGACTATTATCACATTATCAAAAACTGGAATGCGTTATCTCTTCTTTTGCAGAAGCGTTGTCTCCCTCTAGTGGACAACAGCTGATAGTGCAATTTTTTTCCATCTCGTTAGTTCTTGAGTGCTTTTGTGTCTTTTAATATCTTGTTATAACTGTGGTTGAAAGAATTCTTCAACCACAGTTAAAAAGAATTCAGCTCCTAATTCTTTGTCTTATGTTCGGCCAAATGACATCAAGGCGACTAATGGTTGTATTTTAACAGTATTAGGTGCAAGTATTGCGATCCATTTTCTTGAGAAACCAAGCAGTGTAATGCATTACTTTGGAAATACTTACAATATCAAAATACTCTTAATATTTATTTCTAACTATCTCTCACAGATGAAACACAGTGTATAAGACTTAGGCTCAACAGAAGTTGCTTCAACATGTAGCGTTTAGAACAGGGTTTTCAGCTCATTTTGGTCGTTAAAAGTTAAAAGAACGTTTTTTATTACGTTATTTATTTTCTACATTATGATGGTTAAATAAATAAACTTGCCATGGTATTTTGAGAAAATGATTACTCTTACATAACATGACCAGTTGGCTGGCTCTAGCTACCTCATTTTCAAATGTGTCAGGGGTTGCCAGATTTGCCATAAATAGAAAATAAACAGAGTCTTGAGGCTAGGTTGATGGCATTACTTTTCATCACAAACTGGAGGGTTTTGGGACATTCTCACAGGTTTAGACCATAGACTGAAAGTATACCTGAGGTTTTGGGATGGAAAATCTAGCTAGAATCGGGCAACACTGAAATGTGCCTCTTCCGCATAAAGGCAAACACTAAGGTGATGTCACACTCAGTCCACTCATATACAGTCAAAGAGCTCAGTGTTCAGTGTATTTTATAGGTTATAACTTTAGTCTCACATCATTCTGTCTTATATGAAGCCCCACATGAGCCCCACCACCAGCAGGAGGCGCACACAGGTCCTCTGTCCCGCCGCGGCCGCTGACTTGTCCCGCGTTGTGACAAAAGCCTCGTTGATGAAGTTGAGGACGAGCGGGCCCCTGCAGGGCTGCTCCGAGTAACACATGCAGTCAAACCACAGGTCGTAGTAGTCCACGTCGTCCTGGGACAGCCCCCCTCTCACCACCAGGGGGCCACCTCTCCTCAGCCGCTCCAGGCGATACCGGCGTGGGTCCAGGTGGAGGTAGGCGTCGCTGTCCCAGGTCTTCCGGACGCAGCGGCCGCGGCTCTCGCACAAGGCCTCGCTGCACAGCTGCGTCGCCGTGGAGACGTTCAGGATGTAGTGGTTCATCACCTGCTCTAAGTGACGGCGAGCGTCGAAGCACGAGTCCTGCGCTCACAGACAGGGACACGTTTAGTCCTGGTTTGACCTGGTTTGACCTGGTTTGACCTGGTCCCGTCCTCTTTTAGTCTTGGTATGACCTGGTTAAGTCATATTTTAGTCTTGGTTTGACATGCTTAAGTCATGTTTTAGTCCTGGTTTTACCTGGTTTAGTTCTTGTTTAGTCCTGGTTTAGTCCTTGTTTGAAATGGGTTGGTTCTGGTTTAGGCCTGGTTTAGTCCTGGTTTAGGCCTGGTTTAGTCCTGGTTTGGTTCTGGTTTAGTCCTGGTTTCACTTGGTTTGGTTGTGGTTGAGTCCTAGTTTAGTCCTGGTTTAGTCCTGGTTCAGTCAGTCATAGTTTAGTTCTGATTGGACTTGGTTTAGTCTTGGTTCACTCCTAGTTAAGTCCTGGTTTGAACTGGTTTGATCCTGGTTTGGCCCTGGTTTAGTCCTGGTTTCGTTGTGGTTTAATCCTAGTTTTGTCCTGATTGGCCCTGGTTTACTCCTGGCTAAACCTGGGTTACTCCTGGTTTAGTCAGTCCTAGTTTAGTCTTGATTGGACCTGGTTTAGTCCTGGTTTAGTCCTGGTTTTGTCCTGGTTTAGTCCTGGTTTAGTCCTAGTTTAGTCTTGGTTTAGTCCTGGGTTGCTTCTCATTCAGCCCTGGTTTAGTTGTCGTACAGACTTTGTATAGTCCTGGTTTAGTCAGTCTTAGTTTAGTCCTGATTGGACCTGGTTTAGTCCTGGTTTAGTCCTGGTTTAGTCCAGCAGGGTACTCATGTGTGTCACCTCGTCATCAGTGATGTTCATGTCTCCCCAGGACACCACTCCAGCCGCCCCCAGAGCTGCAGCCTCTCCCACCGTGTTCACCAGGTCCAACTGCAACACATCAAAAACTGGTTTGAACTGGATTTCTGGTCCGTCTTCTGATGTTGTTTGTGAAATAAGAATAAACTGTTTTGTGTTTTGTCACCGCCGTGTGGTTTTGTTTTAGTTTCTGGTTCGGCTCCTGTTGAGTGTGGTCTCTGCGACACAAATGCCCTGTTTCCACCAGACCTACCTGGCCCCACTCTACTCGGCTCTACTCTACCCGGTTGGTTTCCATCTGGTATCTGGAAATTCAACAGCAACATCAACAAACCAGTATCTGTGGACATTCCTGGGTAACCATGGCTTCCAGCCATTTTCTGTCAGTTAGAACACTTTAATACCAACTCGGCCTGGATACAACCAGGGCCAAGGGGGACTAAAGAAGGACATGGTACTGGTTACGCAGGGCTGGTGGAAACTCTCAATTGGGGTGGAGTAGAGTAGAGTAGAGTAGAGTAGGCCAAAGCAAGGCTATAGACTCCAAGCTTATCTTTACTCATCATTAGATTTGTCCTCAGATTTTTCAGATTTGTCTTCTAACATGGTGATGACAGTTAAACCTTGAGTTTTTGTGAAATATCTTGGATTTGGGTTTTTTTTTTTTTTTTTTCATTTTCCTGCTCAGAGACAGAACAAAACCAAACCCAAGTTTCTTCCGTCAAGCCTGCCGTCTGAATGTTGCTCAATAAACATTTTGTCCGCTGTTTATCTGTACCTTTGCTCAGTAAATTATTGCCAATTGTAGTTAAAGTATAGTTACATATTTTACACAATAATCATATTGATATAAAATCCGTCATGAAGTCGATATGTAAGAACTGGCCACAGAGATGATAAAAAATTGAACTGGTCGAGAACACTGTCCGATAAAAAATGACACCCATGGATTCTGATTTCCCATTTTAAACAATTCAATGTCTTTTTGAATTGATCTAAAACTGTTTATTGAGTTAAACACATCCACTGAATTCGACAGTTGTTTATGAAATGCGCTCTATACATTAAATGGATTGGATTCAACGTCCTGAAGTAGAAGCAGAAACAATATTCAGTTTTTTTGTTTTCAGTTTTTCCTGGATCATTCTTGACCGTCAAATAAGGAACAAGTACCAGGAGGCATTGAGCTATTCCAAAGCTTTCCAAAAATGTACCCAATGTTACAATCTGATGATGTTTGAAGGATTGGGGGTCATATGAATGCGACATCACATGTGGTTCTTTTGCAAGACAAGCTAGATATATTACCCTGTTAAGCCGAAACCTGTTAACAAGGTAATAGATCTAACCGGTCTGACAAAACAACAAAAGAACCACCAAAAAAGCTCTTTCTACACAAAGGAAGGTTGCCCACCCATCATCTGTACTTGGATTGATCTCCATCTCAACGCTGATCTTTCATTCCCCTGAGAAAGTTCTTCGGATGGCGAACGGACCTTCGGAAAAACCTACTAACTGTTTTACAGATAATCCCTGTACGACTGAGATCTTACACAAACTTAAACCTCTTTCTAGTCACTTACCTCAGACATGTACAGGTCCACGCTGTCCTTGTAGACCGGGCGTATGTAGGCGTACACCGGTATGGAGTAGGTCCGGTTGGGGAGCGCCGACACCCTCATCGCCTCCACCATTCTGTGCCGGACAAACATTCGCGCTTGTACGGAGTCCCTTAGAACCTCCTCCAGATAGATGGACGGGAACAAGGCCGTCGATGCGTTCCACAACCACAAAAGTTCATCGTTTCGCACTTTTTCGATGTCTGGACACTCCCCTGTGTAGCCCGCCATATCCTGGTTATAGTCGTAGTTATAGCAATCCGGATATAGATAGTATCCCCATAGTCTTTTGGGTCTCAACCTTTTCCCGACATTTAGCGACTTGAGGAAGTACCTTTTCGCGGCACGTTCGAACACCATCTTGGCTCGGTCTTCCGCTTCGTCTTCGGTCAACGAGGCGTTTTTCTTCTTCACGGTTTCGATGGAATATTCGCGATAGATGTCTTTGCTGCCCCAGTTTCGAACCCACTGCGGCCTCCACTCCTCAAAGTCCAAAATGGCGAGCCCGGGTCCGTCTATGGGGATGTAGAACTCGATATCGTCTTCGGCCTGATCGCGATGCTCCTTCAGATCGACCAGCTGGGGCAGGCCGTAGTCGTAGGTCTCGCCCGTGTCTTCGTCCAGATAGGGGAAGAGGCCAAATCGGTCGGTGTAGAATATGGAGATGGGTTGGTCCGTCGCGGTTTTTAAGGTGCTGCTGATGAGGTGGAAGTGGGACAGGTCCAGCGGCATCCCGAATCGGATTTTGCAAAGCTCCGACGGGGCGTTCCACAGAAAGAGGAAAGGGTGACCCGGGTCCACGGGGGGGTCGGTCCTGGGGAGGGCTTGAGTAAGATACAGGAGGAAGGAGAATGTAAAGATGGTGGTGGTGGGTTTGAGAGGCTTCATGGTGGGTTAAGAGTTGGATCTAAAGAAAGGGGACAGAAGTTTGGTTTCCGTGAGAAAGAATTTTTGAGAATGGGATAAATACAGGCAACTTGGAAGACGTAATAAGAACTTTAGGAAGTGGGACAGACAAAGAAAAACTTAAAGAAATGGGACAGAAGATTAGTTTGCATGAGAGAAAATGATAGAGAATGGTGAAAATACAGGCAACTTAGAAGACATAATATGCAATTTTTGTTTTCTTCATATAATTTGTATTTGTACAATATATAGCGATCTATGTTTGGCGGCTAAAACGGAAATTCAGACCCAGAGAACGGCTGCTACACAATCCTCCTTCAGCTACACTGCGCCTTAGCTCACCACCATCGATCACAGCTGCACAGTCTGCACTTCGGTTGCATTCAAACAGCCTCTCAGTATCAACCTGATGTTCGTGCAGCAACCCACCACCTCCCCATCAGTAACGAATCATCTTGTTGTCGGCTCTGCTCCCACCACCACCAGCACCTAGACTCGAGGGGTTTGCCACCGTCGTCTAGAACCAAGGGGATTTGCTACCGACGTCTAGACCCGAGGGGGTTTGCACCAGGGTCTAAACCTTGGGGACATCAGCAGCACCAGGGTCTAGACCAGTGATGTCAAATCGGCTCCATTATGGGTGTGGCTGCAGGGTTTCAATCCAACCAAGTAGGAGTACACCACACTCCACCTTCCTCGACCCATTTGCTCAAGTCTGCAGGGTGAGACTGGACTCGCTTGAGGAAATGGTTAACAATTCAAAAGCTAATACTCCCTGTTAAATTGCTAAGTACGTCATATTGTATTCCTCTGGGGTTGAATCACCACCTCCTATTGGTCAAATCATGTTCAAATTTGATAATTGTTTTAATACCACATAATGCGTCTGCCGAGACTAATGTCTGGTCGTACAGCTACAATATTTTCTTCCAGACAATAGGCAAACCCACGACATTAGCAAAGAGAGAGAAACTACAAAATTACAACATGTTCAGTAGTGGTGATAATTTATAGCCATAAAAAATGCACCGCCAGGAGGAAGTTCATGTTGTGACAGAGCTGGAGAAGGGTGAGTGCAAAGGAGAGGAGCAAATGCACTGGATTGATATAACATGATATAAGATTTAGTGATTTAAAGCTTGGGTACGTGACTTTTGCCTTCATAAATAATACATTGTGTGTTTGTCTTGTAAAAATAACAATGCTGTGAAGAAATCAGACCATAACATTCATCTTAATAGAAAACATTTCTCGCAGACTTGTCAGAAAGACCCATGTGAGTCACTATTTGACTCTCTGGGATGAGGGCAGATCGGTAAAGTGAGGCCGGTCCCCTCTTTTACACTCTTCTGTCTGGACAAGCTGATCTAAAGCTGGGGGGAAAAGCTAAAACACAAATATGACGACTTATGAAAGCTCACACATACATTTTTTGATTATTTCATCTTTTAAATTTGAAATGTGAGTGGTTCTACCTTCAACTCCCACTATATCAGGGGTGTCCAAACCTTTTAGCAAGAGGGCCCCTTTAGTTCTCCAGACTAGTCCAGGGGCTGACGTCACGGACTGAAAAACTGTCTTGACTGGCACCGGGCTGTTCTGAGCTTTAAAATGATCTATAACAGAGCTAAAGTTGGCTGAATGACACAATTTTACCATCTCACTAGCTACATCAGCACCATTAACGGAAGTTTATGACACAATCAAAAACTGTGTCAGTACAGTATGTGCAAATAAACGACTGAATTCGAGACTGGGCTTCAGAACGAGGTCTATATTGACTAAGCTGGAGTTGGATGGATGACGAAGTAAACTTGTGATTATGATCTCAAAGACAACTGTGGGTTAGCAAGGCAGAGGGTGACAAAAAATGACACTGAGGACTGCGTTTGGCCCCCGGGCTTGAGTTTGGACTTGCCTGCACTAGAGTCATTTTGACATTTCATTTGAAGGACAGTAACCTGGCAACAACAAAAATTCCCCGGTACCGGTTCTGGACCTGTATTTCATGTAATATTCACCAGTTTAAAAAGTAAAAACCGTATGGATGACTTACATTTAATAAAGCTTGAGGCAAACTAGGAAGTCCATGTATTTGAATGGGAGCCGTCAAAATGACTGCTCTGTGGGGGCTGCAGTAGTTTCAGTATTTTGGGAGTGTGAATAGTCCGGTTCAGTGATGTCTTCATAAACACGCTTGTGGAGCCGGCACCACATGTTGAGACGCCGAGCGAGGTCCGTGAGGCGGAGGACACGGAGCTGACACAGAAATAGTCCACATGGTTTTGATGAAACGAAAGACGCTTCTCGCAGACGCTGAGGCTTTGATGGTGATGCGCCTCAAATGTCTCCACATTCTGAGCACATACCAACACTTTTACTTCTGCCCTCTCCCTAAAGCTGATGTGTGTACCTTTCAAAAAACACAAAGAAACAGCAAACGGCGTCTTTCCACAAGTTCTTCTCAGTTTAAAAAGAGCACTTTGATGATGGCACATGTTTTTAAACTGTTTTGTTGATCAATTTCACCGTGACAATTGTTTCCTGCTCTTTTTCATTTGTTGTACTTTTAACTTTGATCTATTTATGTATTTGTCTTGTGCACACTGGGGTCTTTTTCGCAAATGTATTCCAATGTGGTTTTACTGCAAATGGCAAATAAATGAATCTGAATCAGAAAATAGTAACGTCAGCAAATCCACCAAACTTGTTTCTGGCTCTAAAACAGTCTAGTTTTCACGTGCATTTTCTTTTGGCCTCTGTCACAACTTTAGATCAACTTTTTCAGACAGAAAGGCGGAAAACGAGAGGACGGCCCGCATTCATGTCAAACAGTGACTCAAGTGAGCTTGAGGCAGAGCTTAAACTCTTCAATGTAAGTCAATAGGAGACAGAGCGAGTAGGAGCAAAACTTTGTCTATGAGCACTTCCCTATTGGGCTTCATTGAGCGTGAGGGTTAGCATTATCTGTCTATATACAGTCCATGTCTAAAGCATTAAAAGTGAAGTAAAGTAAGTCAATGTATTCATAATAACAAGTTTAATCAACCAGTCTATAGCACCTGTCAAAAGTATTAACACACAATGAAACGAAAGCACTTTGTGAAGTTTACGTGAAGTTTACGAGCACAAACATGACGATTTTATTTTGATTTTGTTTCTGAACGTTCACACACAAGTAACAGACAACCGTGAAAGTGAAAGTGAAATTATACATGAGTCTGTTATTATTTAAAGAAAGGAAAGTGACAAGAATAGGTATGTGAGTGCTGACTCCTCCCTCACAATTGGAGCTAACACTCCTGTGAGCTGACTCCACCCACTCCAGCTGAGGGTGTTACCTCCAGGCTCCACCCTATGGCCTGAACCATGGCAGGTCCAGAAGAGGGGATGTTTGGGGAGATTCATTTGAGTTTATATTCTAATATTCAGTATAATTATTATTATTATTAGTCATATTATTACTATTAACTTTATCCTTAATTAGTTAAGTAAATGTATCTGTTTTGTGTAGTCTTGTTTACCCCCTTTAGTTAATAGTTGGTCTGATCATCCAGCTTAAATGTTCCCCTGGTGTGTCTTGTGTTAGGTCAGTGTTTGTCATGTTCAGTTGTACATTTGATTTTGGCCTCATTTATTTGTATTGTTTGGCTCATTTTTTGGCTAATTAAAAAGCCTTAGTAATTAAACAGTTTGTGTGTTTCCTGCTACACCATCGGTCCCTTACATTTGGTGGCAGCGGTGGGATCGATCTGGTCAAGAACACACCTGTTTTGATTATTTTTTTTTGTACTTTTCCACCTGGATCCTCCTGCATTTTTTCCTTTGGAGAAATGGGGAAAGACAAGCCCGTCACCCGAGGTGGAGCTAAAACCGCTGGGAAAGTTGATACAATAGTGGAACATGGAGAAGAATCTGAAGAAAGTCAAGAGGAAGTGAATGAAGAGGAAAATGGAGCCAGAGCAAAAGGAGAGGCTGGGAGCAGGGAGCCAACAGTTTCAGACCTGGCAGGTATTTTACAGGCCTTTATGGGACAGCAGCAGGAGCAAGAGGTAAAACGGGAAAGAGAGAGAGCACAACAGGAACATAGATTTCAAGCTTTACAACAGCAATTTCAACTCCTTCAGAAAGAGGTGCAGGAACGCTCTACACCTGATCCTGAGCCTCCAATCTCAATGCTCAGTCCTGCAGAGGAGAAAGCTCCTCCCTCATGGGCCTACACAAGCCTAAAGCCTAAAGACTCCACAGCATGCCATGTGCTCACAGGTCAGTCTCAATCATTTCATGAACCAAGGCTTGAAAAGTTAACAAGTGAAGATGATATTGAACACTATCTCATAACATTTGAAAGAATTGCAGTAGTTTGTAGATGGTCTCAAACAGACTGGGTTTTCCGGCTTATTCCTTTGCTCACTGGGAAAGCTAGAGCTGCTTATGTGCACATGGATATGGATGAGGCCCATGACTATGAAAATGTTAAAATGGCTATTTTACAAAAGTATGATATAAATGCAGAGACCTACAGACAAAGGTTCCGGTCTCTCAACGTTGGCCCAGGAGAGAGCCCTAAAGAACTTTATGTAAGACTGAAAGAGTTATATGGGAAATGGATCCAACCTAAATGCAAAACTGTGAATGATGTCAATGAACTGATTATAATGGAACAGTATTTGAGGATGTTGTCTCCAGAGCTCCAGGTTTGGATTAAAGAGCATGACCCCAAGACTGCTTCAGACGCAGCCACTCTGGCAGAGGTGTTTGTGGCAGCTCGGAAGAAAAATCAATCCTGGACCAATACCGCATGGAAGGCTGGGAGAGAAGCTCGGAAGCTACCTCCACCGCACCACCAGAGGGCACCACCTAGTAAAATGCCTGCAAGTGAAGGTCAGTCAACGGGGCCACATACAAACCTGATGCCAAGGTCAAACAAAATACCCATCTGTTATCTTTGTGGAGAAGAAGGCCATACTAAGCCGGTGTGC